AGTTTTGACTATCTAAACTTTTCTCACTGAATCATACTTCTTGAATAATATCTTCTAATCCTAACCTCTCCGATTACTTGTAATATCTTTACTACCTCTACTACTATTGGATTTGAATTTACAATTACATCTCTGTGCTGATGTGGTATGGCAACATGAACTGATGTACTTACGTACGAAGCTCTACGTTACATCTGACTGACTGACTGACTGACCAGAGATACTTAGTTGACCTTCAGCTTACATTTCGCTCGGAAAATTCTTGACTGACATTGGTTGATTGATTATTTTACTTACTTACGCCTGTTACCCCTAATGGAGCATAGGCCGCCCACTCGTTTTCTCCAACCAACTCTTGATGGATTTTTTTTTTAGTTTGCTATTTTTGTGACTCTTCCAAGGGCGTTTTTATCATTCTATATATAAATAAGCATGATTTGTGTGCTTACTGACCTCATATTTTTTTGGGTTCCTGTAGAATACATTCTCTACGCCTTATCAAGACTTATTGATGTAGTTAGCGCGGAGCCTGTGACAGTCGGGCTAGAATAACCTGTCGAATCACTGCATCGTTGATCTTTTTTTTCCGTTTACTGAGTAAAGTGATCTATGATATTAGTTTCGAGCATAACACAAATGATCTTACTTAGACAACTCGTAAAAACTAGTCAATACTGAACAGTTGTTGCATATTCATAACGCTAACTTTTTTTCAATATGATGAAGACACTGTTTCCTTTACAATTTTTCCGACTTCTTTTTTCTCCCTTAGCAGCTACCTCATACATCATCATCATCACCTGGTAATCATAATAATAATAATTCTACAATTCCTATTATATCACCAAACAATCCACTAGTTGGTTTGATCCCACCACGACCGCCTACATCTTCTATACGTATACCATCTCCTCCGGCACCTCCACCATTTGTTGTTGGCGGATTAGATCATCAATATTCTTTCAGTCCACCGCCTCCTCTACCGTCAACATTGAATGAATTAGCTTATCGTCAGCAGCAGCAGCAGCAGCATATTCTACCTGTGACTAAATCCGATTCATTCATTGTACAACAACCTCCTGGAGCAGCACCTCCACCGCCACCACCGCCTCCAATATTTGTGGATTTGAAACAGATCAATACATTTATGAACAGCAGTGTTAGTAGTAGTAGTAGCAGTAGTGGTAGTGGTAGTTGTAGTAGTGACTTGACAAATACTACCATTAAACAATCTAATGATATTATTCAATCGGAAAAATTATCCGCTATTGATATATTGAAAAATCTCTGTCAATCACCATCTTTACTAGCGTCAAAATCATCTTCATCCTCTGCATCGTTGTCGTCATTCAATTATCCTTCTAATAATAATAATAATAATAACATGACAGCATCGATTTCTCCATTGATTTCTCCGTTTCCATCTGTATTCCCATCCTCCTCCTCCTCCTCATCAACATCATTGTCTATTGAGAATGCAGGAATTACTTCGTCAACAATGATTAGTCATAAAAGTCCCCTATTATCACCTATGATTCAATCAAGTCTAATGATGAACTCATTGAATTCCTCCAAGCAGAATAATAATAATAATAATATTCCAACTGGAATCACATTGAATTCAATCGGTTCTAATTCTTCTTATGATAAAAATGTTAATCAAACTGTAACTAATAATAATAATAATAATAATAATAATAATAATAATAATAATAAAATTGTCGAAGATCCATTTGCTGTCATTTCTCGTCTAACTGGATTATCGAATTTAATGAAAAAGTTAGTTAGTTCGTTAGTTAGTTATTTGAATATATTGTGTTTTTTGGTTTGGTTTGGTTTGTTTTATTTTTTCTTTATCTCAATTTAGAATACAAAAATTTAATTCGTTCATTGATTGTTTGTGAAACTTTCGGTGAAGACGCTGACAAGATACAGAGTCTTCTGATTACCTTAAGCAACAATGCAAGCATGTTCGGGATGCGGTTTTCCCCGTCGAAATGCAAAATGTTGCTTCAAGACTGGGTCGCATCGGCACCTGAACTAGTGATAGGGAGTGAAGTAGTCGAGCGTGTTGATCACTTCACTTAACTAGGGAGTCTCATCAGCGCTGATAGCCTGGTGACTGACGAAATCTCAGCTCGGATACAGAATACTCGATTGGCTTTTGCCAACCTGCGTCACTTATGGCGTAGGCGTGATATCCGTTTGCTGACTAAAGGACGCGTGTACTGCGCAGCAGTTCGCTCCGTCTTACTTTATGGCTGTGAAACATGGCCAGTGAGAGTAGAAGATATTCGTAGGTTACTGGTTTTCGATCATAGGTGTCTTCGAAGCATTGCTCGTATATCGTGGGACACCCGAGTGAGCAACGCTGTTATTAGGAAACGAGTTCTAGGTAAGGATGGCAAATCAATATATGAAGCATTGTAACTTCGTCAGTTGAGGTGGTTGGGACATGTGTTACGTATGCTTGACCACCGACTGCCTCGAAGAGCTTTGTTTTGTAGTGTAGGAGTAGGTTGGAAGAAAGTTAGTGGCGGCCAAACCAAAACATGGCACAAATCCATGAAGTCATTGACAAGTGGACTGAGTCATGTCGGTAGTTGTCGACTACCTGGTTGGGGTCCGCAAGATGATAATAATCGATGGATAGATACTCTGAATGACATGGCTCAAAATCGTTCGCAATGGCGCCGGTGCATTTCTGCTTTGTGTTCTCTCAAATCCTAATCTTCTGGATTCTCCAACACCTCTAGTTTTGACTTTCTAAACTTTTTTCATTGAATCATACTTCTTGAATAATATCTTCTAATCCTAACCTCTCCGATTACTTCTAATACCTTTACTACCTCTTCTACTATTGGATTTGAATTGACAATGACATCTGTGTGCTGATGTGGTATGGCAACATGAACTGATGTTCTTATGTACAAAGTTATTCGTTGCATCTGACTGACTGACTATTTGTGCATCGATTGTTTGTGTTCTCTCAAATCCTAACGTTCGGAGTTCCTCATCACCTTTATCTTTTTTAAGTTTGTTTCACTAGATTCTACTTCTTGAATAATATCCTCGAACCGTAATCTTTCCGATTACTTCTAATAGTTCTGCAATCTCTACTCCTATGGGAATTGAATTGACAATGGCTTCTCTGGGCTAATGTGGTATGGCAATTTGAACTGGTGTACGCACGTATGAAGTTCTACGTTATAACTGACTGACCGTCTGACTGAAGAGATGAAATTACAAAGATTTATAGGGAGAATTTTTTTCGCCTGCTATCCCCCGCCGACCAGCATTCTCCGGCCTGCTCTGTTCTTGGCTTTCCTTTTCAGCTCTGTCCAATTTTTGTTCATTCTCCTCATGTCTATCTCCATTTCTCAGCGTAATGTTCCTTGGCCCTCCTCTTTTGTTTTGTCCTTGAGGGTTCCAAGTGTCGACGTGTTTTGTGACACAGTTGGATGATTTCTTCGGTGTGTATCCTGTCCACCTTTTCTCAATTTCTTTCTCAGTTACAAGCTGGTTTGTTCTCTCATACAGTAGGTTGTTGTTGATATTATCTGGTCAATGGATGAGGACAATTTTATATAGATCACTGTTAATTAACACCTGTATATTTTGGATGATAACTTTCGTAATTCTCCAAGTTTCCATCCCATATAATTGAACTGTCTTGACGTTCGTACTGAAAACCGTAACTTTGGTGTTGGCTATCGGACAGTTGTTTAGGGTTTCATGTGTTCTTTAATTGTATAGTGTGCTGCCGTTGCTGTGTTAATCCATGCCTTCACATCTTCATCGTATCCATCTACTTTACGAATGATGGTGCCCAGTTCATTCAAGGTTTCATATCTTCCATAACTTTTCCGTCAAGTGTGATTTGGTGTGTGTATGTTGTGTTTTGTCGGAGGATCTTTCTGTTTCCCTTGAGTATGTTAGGACCTGTTCATCATCATAATCATCAATAGCAACGTAGAACTTTGCACGTAAGTACATCACTTCAAGTTGCCATACCACACATCAGCACAGAGATGCTAATGTGGTCAATTCAAATCCCATAGTAGTAAGGGTAGTAAAAGTATTAGAAGTAATTGGAGAGATTAGGGTTCGAAGATGTTTTCCAAGAAGTATACTTCAGTTATGTAGATTTAGAGAAAAAGATAGAGGTTGCTTTACAGACTGCTTCTAAACTAGTCGTCTTCTAAATTTGTCGCTGCGTGTGGGTTAGAAAAGCAAGATCATCTGAAAAGTCCAAATCGTCTAACTGTATTCCGCGATTCCCTCTAGATGTTGACGTTTTCATAATCCAGTCGATCACCAGGAGAAAGAAATATGATCTTCACCTCGAACGAGTCTGTTAGCTGTCCTCCGTGCACGATTCTGCAGTCTAATCCATCGTAAGAGTTACGAAAGGTGTTGACTATCTTCTTAGTCATGTGGTGAGTTGAAGAAGCTTCCATAGTATCATCTTGTCCACGCAATCTAAGGTTTTCTCGCAGTCAGTGAAGTTGATTTAGAGTGATAAGCTCCATTCAGTTGATTATTCCACAATGATCTGGGCAGCATCGTTTTTGTGCAAGGTGGATCTGATGCAAATGTGAAGGCACAGATTGGCAATGCAAGGGCTGCATTTCTAAAATTGAACAACATCTGGAACTTGAAACATTTAGCAATCAACACCAAAGTCACTATTTTCAATACAGATGTCAAGACAATTCTACTGTATGGTGCGGAAGCTTGGAGAACTACGAAAGTTATCATCTAGAAGATACAAGTATTCATTAACAGTTGTCTATGCAAAATACTTCGGACCGTTGGCTAGGCACTATCAACAACCTAGTGTGGGAGAGAACAAACTAGATCCCAGTGGAGGAAGGAATCAGGAAGAATTGGTGGAAGTGGATAGGGCAAACACATTGAGGAAAGCATCCAACTAACTGTATCACAAGACTAGCTCTCATGGTCGACGGAGAAGATGAAGGCCAAAGAGAACACATTACATCGAGAAATGGAAACAGGCATGATAAGAATGGACAACCATTGAACAGAACTAGAAAGGAAGGTGAAGGACAGAGTAGGTTGGAGAATGCTAGTTGGCAGCTAATTAATTGTCCATTGGGAGGTAACAGGCGTAAGTAAGTAAGTAAGTAAATCAATAAATTTCAGTATTTCTTTAAACTTCATAAATTTTTCCTTTTTTATCTTTCATTATTGATATGTGCCATTTTATTGTTGTTATAGCATTCCAACTCAATCAAATCCTATTCCAGTTACATTGAACACATCTAGTAATCCTTTACTGGAGTCGACGCCAACAATAACAACCCAACCATCAACTACCACGATCATCACCAGCACCACCTCTATTGGCTCTGATTATTTATGTGATAAAACTAGTCATCCAATCAAAGATTCATTATCAGTGTTCTCTTCAAATAATAATAATACTAATTATAATCATAATAATGATTTAAAATCAATCGATCATTTTCAAGAATTACCGTCAACTAACGTTACAGCAACAACAACACCAACTACTCCTACTAGCGCTACTATTAATAATTCACATATTCCATGCGTTAAACGTTCTAGATTTTCAGATGTAAGCAATATTGAAAATAATCATAATAATAAAGAGAAAACTATCCCATCATTAACTAGTGTATTATGTACTATGACTACTACTACTCCTACTCCTAATGCTACTGCTGCTCATACTGCCAGCTCATCATTGTCTATTAGTTCTGATGTAGTAACATCATCATTACCTTGTTCAATGAATGAAACAACAACATCTTCAGCATCATCATCATCAGCATCATTATCGACAACTTCCAAAACTACAATCCATAATCATTCTGAACATGGTGGTCATGTCATTGGAGGTGAAGAAGAGTTAGAAGAAGACCAGCAACGACAACAGCAGCAGAAATTCCCTGATCTTGTTAACAATGATAACAATAGTGATAGTTGTTCTTCAGCTGATGGCGGTGATACACCGACATTAGATGAAAGACAAGATGATTTCTCGCTGTTATGTAATAATGGTCATCATAAAAATCCATCGATTCTATCCTTTCATCCATCATTTAATACAGCGGCATGTAAGTAGTTGAATTTGATTGTTTGTTGGTTGTTTTTTTCTTGTTACATTTAAATAAAACAGTTGTAGTTGAGGTTTGTATGCACTGTCAGTCAGTCAGGCGTTAACACTGTTGGGTGGTACTGTTACGGGTATGAGGGCGGTTGTCACTTCCCGGCTGCCCACACCGTGGAGGGTTGTTTCTTGAGGGACCTGAAAAAGAAGATAGATTAGTGTTGGTCTTGGAGACCTGCGAGCGTGACCGCAAAGTCCAAGGGACAACTGCTTGAGGCCGGTCACGCACGGTCTTTTTATGAGAAGTTTTTGAGTATTAGCATCGCTCTTGAAAGCCCTTAGTGGGCACCCTTATCCAAGGAGACGGAAATCCGTGAGGTAGGGGAGGTGTGACATTTTTAGGGCCGACCTTTACTAACCCTTCCTTCCTTGTGAGAAGGCGACATCGCTGCAGATGCTGATTGTCCGAGGGAAACACCTTACTGCTGTCACACCCTTCTGCAGTCAGCAGTACGACTTCGCCCTCAGACCTTGGGTAGCTGCTTTTAGTCTCATCATTCTCCAATCGACCATTCTGGCATGGTAGAAGCTTCAGGAACATATGTTCCAGCCAGTATAGCTCGGTTGGGTCATGACGATAGGCAAGCCCGACCACCACGTCAAGGTAGCAGCTACGGTCGGGAACACCATTGGATGAAGGCTCGAAGCGAAGCATGATTGCTCGTCTATCCTGGGACAACTGAATAAGCAATGCTCTGTAGTCAGGATAGCGAATCAATAGATGAAATAGTGAAACTCCTTCAGTTGAGGTGGTTAGGACATGTGTTGCGTATGCCCAACCACCGACTGCCTCGACGAGTAATGTTTTGTGGTGTAGGAGTACGTTGGAAGAAATATGGCACAAATCCATGAAATCACTGACGAGTGAACTGAGTCATATTGGCAGATGCAAGTTACCTGATTGGGGTCTGCGAGATGATACTAACCGGTTAAAGGCCTTGAATGACATGGCTCAAAAGCGTTTGTAATGGCGCAGGTGCTTTCATTCATTGTGTTCTCTCGAATTCCAGTCTTCTGAATTCCTCATCATCTCTAACCTTCTGTTTCTAAAATTATCTCGCTGAATTATAATACTTCTCGAATAATATCTTCGCTCCTTAATCGTCTCTATTACTTCTGATACTTCTACTATCGCTACCGCTATGGGATTCGAATTGACAGTTGCCTCTCTGTGCTGATGGGGTTCTGGCGACCTTATGTACTTATGTACCGATGTACGAATTTCTACTCTGTAACTGACTGACTGAATGACGCCTCAATCTTCAACAAGTTTAAGTGTGCACATACTAGACCGAAGCTCCTGGGTTCGATTCTCGAGCTCAGTATTGTTGATGCGCACTGCTGATACAGTCGTCGCATGCTCGGTTAAAATGGCTGTCTAATGGTGGTCTGACATAATCGATCGTTTCATGATTTCAACGACGCGCCAACAATCTTCACAGTCATAATATATTGAAAATTTCGGAATAGTTAAATTGTGGTAATGATATCTCAGTGATAGTGTAGTGAACGAGAACACAGGTGGGGCAACCGATTTTATTTAGCGAAAATTACAGAGTTACTCAGTAAAATCGGAAAACCATATCGTAAATCGTTCATTTGCAAAATATCAGTTCATCATATCGAACTGGACTGTTCCTGTTGCAAAACATCAATCCATTGTCACTATTCATGCGTTTCATACAAACTCCATTGTTTTCTAACTCTTCCTTTCTTGATCTTCCCCCATCTTCTGCTGCCAGACATTACGTTGACACTCACGTCATATACTACTTATAAGTAGCTCGCACCACAATAGTAGAAAATATGAATAGCAGTGATCGATGGTAGTTAGTAATGGATTCCAGGATGTATGTTTTGTCTCATTTTTAAGTATTCCATGTTTATTTTCACACCATCAAATTGAATTGAAGCATTTAACTTTCACTGAATATGTTCCTTGTGCAAACACATCCCTCCAGATGATGAACCGATTAAAATCAACTGAATAATAAATAATATTACTATTATCCGCATAACTAAAATATGTCTCAATGTCAAATATGAAAACCGATAGTTGGTAAAGTACTGCTATAAGTTTAGTGAAAATCCTTACCTCTAAACTCATGGCTGTTATGATGTCGGCACGTTTGTACATCCTCCGGTATCTGTGTGTGGTCGCAGCATAGAAACATGCTTTACTGATTATTCAGTCAAGAGTGGAGAGAGTTTTCCCTCTCCTCTGACTGCTCTCATTTGGCTATATGTATATCACCAATGACACGAAGATTCTACTCTCATTGTCTTCTCGTGGCATAAACTTGTTGCTTAAAAAAATTGAACGAGCTTGAATCTAATTGGTGGATGTGAATAATCCACTTAGGGGAGTTGAAAAACCCTAATTCCAAACCAATTAAGTACATAGGCTACAGGATCCTTAGGGGAAAAGTGACGCATAAATCTATTCCTGTCCACCAGCTACCGTGGAACTGGATTTCCTAACAATGCTCCACTCACTACCTTATGAACTAGATCTCAAGGTTAATTGCTCGGGGAAGTGCTCCGGTCTGCACAGCTGGCAGTGTATCTCAGCCTACTCACAAACTCAATAATTTGTGGTGTTGTGCTTTTATATTTAGGTGGCTTTTCTATGTTTAAATAAATAATGGTGCTCATGAGCTCCAAGATCCTAAACGAAAGAGATAGCGTCTGGACTTATTGTTTGTCACCGGCTACTGTGGAACTGCATCTCCTGCTATTGTCCGTATAGTAGTGCCCCATATGGATTAAGCTTTCTCTGTCAAAAGCTCGGGGGCGATGTCTTTTCTAAGGAACACTAACCTAATTCGATTTCGGCAACCGAAAAGTATCCCAGCTCAGTCATATATCCATTAATTTTGTGTGTTTGCGTTGAAATCAGAAGTAACCAACCATGTTGTAACGCTTGCTTTGATAATTCCCGGCTAAATCCTATTGCTTAGTATTCTCTGACACAAAACACTGGACAAGTTCCCAAGAATCAAAACACGGTTGAACAGGAAAGATTATATTCCAAAATAGCAAGGAATAAGAAGCCAGAGGTGATGGCGAAGGCAAAGAAGGCAAAATAGATACAACGTTAGTCTATTTATAGCATTTACATGAGAAAGCTTCTGGATAGAAACTCACGTGATCGGCTAGATTAGATTTAACCAATCAGCACGCAGCTAACAGTACGAGAATTTCCTACCCTGTTCTCCAAGATTCGATCAGGCGCTGATTGGGTAGGAAATTAGCCAATCAGCGCGCAGCAACGTAGTCATGCTTTAATTCATCTATGTCCCACTAACAAACCACAACTCCGTAGTGTTAGGGAGACTGATTTCCAATTTTCTTGTTGTTTACAAATGAATACAGTGAAACAATAATTAAATGGGGTATTTTTTATTCTATTTGTTTTGTTTTTGTACAGCAAGTTTAGCTGATTTCCTCATACCGAGCTCATGTCATGGTGCAGCCGATCCAAAATCATTTCTATCCAATCATAATAATATTTCACCAACTTCATTTACACCGGGATATGGTTTAACTTATCCTCATAATAATAATAATAGTAATAATATGAATTTCATTCCTGTAATCAATAATTCCATGAATATGTCTTCTGTCATTCCGAGTACTGCTACTGCTATTCCCACTACTACTACAACAACACAATCATCAATGACCAATTTACCTATGTCCAATTCACAAGTATACTATTGCAAAAGTGTTTTTTTTCTCGTGAATATTTTATTTCATTTGATTTATTTATATCGATCAATGTTAGTTAGACCATCATTTAGAAGCATTGGACGGGCTGTATGTGTGACTCATCAGTGATAGCAGTGTGCTGCATCCCCTGCTCGTGGGAATTGAATCTAGTACTAGGTTTGATGATCTCGTGTGCGAGAACGCTTAACCTTTAGACACCAGTACTACTGAACCGGCGGCCTCCAACGGTGTTCATGTCTATCTAACTTGGCGGGAAAATCGCTTACTGATCTAGAATATGCCGATGACATAGTTCTATTCGGTGAAGACGCTGACAAAATGCACAGTCTTCTGACTACCTTAAGCAACAATGCAAGCATGTTCGGGATGCGGTTTTCCCCGTCGAAATGCAAAATGTTGCTTCAAGACTGGGTTGTATCGACACCTGAACTAGTGATAGGGAGTGAAGTAGTCGAACGTGTAGACCGCTTCACTTATCTTGGGAGTCTCATCAGTGCTGATGGCTTGGTGACTGACGAAATCTCAGCACGGATACAGAAGGCACAATTGGCTTTTGCCAACCTGCGTCACTTATGGCGTAGGCGAGATATCCGTTTGCTAACCAAAGGTCGAGTGTACTGCGCAGCAGTTCGTTCCGTTTTCTTATATGGTTGTGAAACATGGCCGTTAAGAGTAGAAGATGTTCGTAGGTTACTAGTATTCGATCATAGATGTTTAAGAAGCATTGCTCGTATATCGTGAGACAACCGAGTAAGCAATGCTGTCGTTAGGAAACGAGTACTAGGTAAGGATGGCAGATCAATCGATGAAGTGGTGAAACTTCATCAGTTGAGGTGGTTGGGACATGTGTTACGTATGCCTAACCACCGACTGCCTCGACGAGCTATGTTTTGTGGTGTAGGAGTAGGTTGGAAGAAAGCTAGGGGTGGCCAGACCAAAACATGGCACAAATCCATGAAGTCACTGACAAGTGGACTGAGTCATGTTGGTAGATGTAGACTACCTGGTTGGGGTCCGCGAGACGAAAGTCATCAATGGTTAGAGACCTTGAACGACATGGCTCAAAATCGTTTGCAATGGCGCAGGTGCATCCACTCTTTGAGCTCTCTCAAATCCTAATCTTCTGGATTCGTCAATACCTCTGCCTTTGTCTTTATAATCTTATCTCACTGAATTATATTTTTTGAATAATATCTTCGAACTCTAGTCTTCTTTATTAACATTAATACCTCTATTATCTTTATCACTATGGGATTTGATTTGACATTTGCGTCTCTGTGCTAATAATGTGGTATGGCAACATGAACTTATGTACATACGTACGAAGTTCTTACGTTGCAACTGACTGACTGAACTTGGCGGGTAGTGGTCATCGATTTACACTGCTGCTGATTATGAGTCCTATACTAGGATCAAACGATCGTCCAGTGCTTCTAGGTTTCTAACGATGAAATTAAAGACATAAGCATTAGGGGCTTCCTACTATTTGTTAGTAAGATGAAAAAAGATAACGTTATTATTTTTGATGCCAGTTATTATGAACTTTCAGACTAAGCATTACTACTTGTATAAGTTCCCTATATCGGCATTATTACTAGAGGAAATGTAATTCAATCTATTATAGTGGGGAAAGGAAAAATGAGACATTGCAAATAATTGGTTTCAGGCAGTTAGTTGTATTCAACATTTCCAGTGCTGTTATGGGTATGGGTATGAGGGCGGTTGTCATTTCCCGGCTGCCCACACCGTGGAAGGTTGTTTCCTGAGGGACCTGAAAAGAAAGATAAATTAGTGTTGGTCTTAGAGACCTGCGAGCGTGACCGCAAAGTCCAAGGGACAACTGCTTGAGGCCGGTCACGCACGGCCTTTTTATGAAATGTATTTTGAGGATTAGCTACGCTGTTAAAGGCCCTTAGTGGGCACCCTTACCCAAGGAGACGGAAATCCGTGAGGTAGGGCGAGGTTTGACATTTTTAGGGTCGACCTTTTCTAACCCCTTCCTTCCTTGTGAGAAGGCAACATCACTGCAGAAGATGCTGGTTGTGCGAGGGAAACACCTTACTGCTGTCACACCCCTCTGCAGTCAGTCAGCAATACGACTTCGCCCTCAGACCTTGGGTAGCTGCATTTAGTCTGGTCGTTCTTCAATCGACCTGCCTGGCATGGTAGGACCTGCAGGAACATGTTTTCCAGCCAGTATAGCTCGGTTGGGTCATGACGATAGGCAAGCCCAACCACCACGTCAAGGTAGCAGCTACGGTCGGCCACATTTTGCAGTCATCGAATATAATTATCGTCTCAATCACAATTGAACAGTTTACAACAATCTTACCCAACACAGCTTACTTACACTTGTAAGATTTGACTAATATATAAGATGGTTGTTACTGTCAGAACAACACTGGAGTTGATCTGTCACCTCTTGCGCAGTATATATCAACATTATTTAATCGCTTGTTGTTATTATGACATTTTTGATTTGAATATCAATCTTATCTATAGGTAGCTTCTGCTGGACCGACTCATCCAAGTATGATGTTCTATGAACCAATGACAAGAATGTTGCCTTTAACGCCTAAACCATTAGTACCTTGTCCTTTGATAATGTCACCACAACAACAACAACAAACACGTCTAGCAGCAGCAGCGGCAGCAACAACAGTTCCAGTACAACAACTATCACCTGCATTATTTCGTGGACAGAATTGGCCGCCACAGTCCATAGTCGCCAATCAAGTCACATCGTCGTTACAACGTCCTCCTCATCCTCTTCCTGCTCCTGCTCCATCATCGACTAATTTCTGGGCATTGATGAGTACAGTGCCTCCGCCACCTCCACCACCACCGCCGCCCCCACCCACACTACTACTACCACCATCACAACAATCTTCATCAACTCTACCATTGCCTACTCTCTCAACATTCAATTCAAATCAAACAATACGTCCATCATTAGTTGGTGGTGTCATGTTCAATCCGAATACATGGATGTTCTCTTCGGCAACGAACAGAGATAAACAGTGAATATTATATATATTAATATATATATACATAACATTACAATCGATGCATAGTAGTACTAGTAGTAGTAGTAGTAGTAGTATATCGATTTTATGAATAATTTTTTTTTATCTGTATAATAAATTCATCGTTTCTTCATTCTTTCCTTCTTTCTTACCTTACTAATTATTATACACTCATGTTATTGTATTGTATGAACAGAACACATCATGATGATTTTTAAGGTTGGCTCTTCCCTCATTCAACATTCATTGTACAAATTGACAGACTGTGGATTTCAACAACAAGAACTGATTTTCCATAATTGTGACCAATTCTCAACACACTGCAACAATGATGATAGCTGCACACAGAATTGCCCATTGTGTACTAACTACTGTTTCGTTGTTTTCTTTTTAACTCTACAAATATCACGTTTATGATATGAGTATCTTGTGTGTGTGTGTGTGGTGTTCATTTTAAATGATAATAATCGATTCCCTTTTTTTTCATTGTTCACTGATTTCTTTCCCGTCTTATTTTTTTTTATTTATTGAAACCTTAGAAAAAAAGTTCACCTTTTAGAAAGAAACACTATATAAGACAATGTATATGTGTGTGTGTGTGCGCTTACAGATTTATATTGATTTGTGTGTGTGCGTGTGTGTGTCTGTGTGTAAAACTTTTTCCTTTCACTTTTCCACTTGTACATTGAAAGTTTTTAAAATGCATTTTTGAAATAGGTTTGACTTTTTGTCTTTTTTTTTGTAGTTTTGCAAGTTTCACTTTTTTATTCTTATGCTTATTATTAATACTGTGCTCTTGGAGCAATGATAATCGTGATCAGTTAGTCCATTACAATGTAGAACTTCTTACGTACGTATATATGTACATACGTTCTGGTTGCCATACTACATTAGTACAGAGACGCAAATGTCAAATCAAATCTCATAGTGATAGAGATGATAGTAGAGGTATTAATGGTAAATGCAGAAGACTAGGGTTTGAAGATATTATTCAAGAAGTAAAATACAGTGAGATAAGGTTAGAAAGACAAAGGTGTAGAGGTGTTGACAAATCCAGAAGATTAGGATTTGAGAGAGCGCAAAGAATGGATGCACCTGCGCCACTACAAACAATTTTTAAACCATAACATTCTAAGTCTCTAACTACCATCGATTACTATCGTCTCACGAAAACCCAACCAGGTAGTCTACATGTTGTACCAAAATATGACTCAATACACTTGTCAGTGATTTCATGAATTTTTGCTCATGGCTCTGAATCGTTTGCAATCGCGCAGGTGCATCCACTCTTTGTGTTCTCTCTAATTCTAACCTTCTGAATTCCTCATCAACTCTATCTTTTACCTTCTAAATTTATCTTACTGAATTATACTTCTCGAATCATATCTCCGCTCCCTAATCTTCTCCATTACTGCTAATACTTCTATTTTTGCTATCACTCTTGAATTTGAACTGACAGTTGCGTTTGTGTGCTGATATGGTATGGCAACCTGAACTGATGTTCTTACGTACGAAGTTCTGCGTTGTATCTGGCTGTCTGAATTTGTGCCTTGTTTCGGTTTGGTCCCCTAGCTTTCTGTTCAGTTCAGGTTGCCATACTGCATCAGCACAGAGACGCAGCTGTTCGTTCAAATTCCTTCGTAGAGGTAATAAAAGTAGAAGTATTAGCTGTAATGGAGAAGATTAGGGTTCGAAGATATGATTCCAGAAGTATAATTCAGTTAGATAACTTTAGGAAGAGAAAGATAGAGTTGATGAGGAATTCAAGTTAAGATTTGACAGGACACAGAATGGGTGCACCTGCGCGACACTATAAGACCCACCCAGGTGTCGTTCCCGTTCACCTAGTTTACCTACTTGAACATTGAAGTCACCAGCCATTACTACTATATCATAGCGCTTAACTTTCTGAAGGTTAGAGAGGTTTCTATAAAAGTCATCTTTTTTCTCGTCTGAACTGCAGTCAGTCGAAACGTAGACCGAGACAACAAACAGGTGACAGCGTAGAACTTCGTACGTACGTACATCAGTTCATGTCGCAATACCACACCCGCGCAGAGCTGCGATTGTCAGCTCAAATCCCGTTGTAGAAGTATGATCAGTAATCGGGGAGATTCACCGTTTATATATATATATATATATATATATATATATATATATATATATTTCACCGTATGGAAAATCAAATCAGAAAATGTCGTTGATACTTTTTCTGTGAATATCTAATTTATTGTAGGATGGTAATCGACCTTCATTTAAATCATCAATTTCTTTTTTGTTCTAACGGCAAAAGTATCATCTACTGACGACCTTGATAGCGACCAATCAAGAAACGCTGACTAGTTATCAAATAATCAACAGCTGTAAACATCATTTTATTTCTGATAACTAATCAATCCTTACATGTCGAATTAAAACTTTATAGTGAAAAGAAAAAAGGCTTAGGCCTAAATGTTCAATTTTAGGTCATTGGTAATGAGTTAGGATTGTCAACCCACAAAGTTTTCGTCACTGACTAAAACCAGCTAGCCTGCAAAGTGCTTGAGAGTTGAAAAAGTTAAGCTTGATTTTTTCAAATCAATTTTATGATTTTCATCGTAAACTACTGACGTCAGCTGTAATGCAATTCTGTATTATTATTCTACCGTTTTCGTACTTAAAAAGCTTATAGTTGAACATTTAGATATAACCTAACTTCAATAACTACTTTGAACAACTTATTTAAACCATAACGAGTACTTTAACACACAATTTGTCTAAAGCATACTTACTGACGACGCCTGTTATGGCCAATAGAAGCATCATAGACTGTTTTGACCAGCGTAATCAAACCTACTCTGTTTTTTAAGCAATCAATCTGTCGAATTGCTATTCATTCTTTTCATGTCTGCTTTCAATTCTCAACGTAATGTGTTTGTTATTTGACTTTGAGGCACGCTAGTTAAGGCCTGGCCTGTGATGATGCAGTTGGGTGCTTTCTTCACGATGTATGTTCTATTCACTTCAAACGCTTCTTTCTCTGTTGGATTATTCTATTCCACTAAAGGAACTAAGCACCGTTATAAATTCTGTTTCAAGTTACAACGTGATAGGGATTTTTATTGATTTGAAGCGTTTTCAAGACCATGTATTGCTCATTGTATAGTTCATTAATATTAATAATTATAATAAATCGGTTAGTTAGTTAGTTAGTCAGTCAGCTACAACTTAGAACTTCGCACGTCTGCACATCAGTTCAAGTTGCCATACTATACTAACTAGCACGGACACGCAATTATTAATCTAAATTCCAAAGTGATAGTAGAAGTATTAGCTGTAATGCAGATTGGGGTTTGAAGACATTTTTCCCGAAGTATAATCCAGTGAAATAAATTTTTTGAATAGAAAAAGATAAAGGTGATAAGGGATTCAGGTTAGGATTTGATAAAAAAACACAGAGAATGAATACACCCGCGTCATTGCAAACGATTTTCAACCATGTCATTCAAGGTCTCTAACCATCGATTACTATCATCTCTCGAAAACCCAACTAGGTAGTCTACATCTACCAATATGACTCAGTCCACTTGTCAGTGACTTCATGGATTTGTGACATGTTTTACTTTGGACACCCCCTCCTCCACTTAGCCTTCTCTTCTTATAAAACGTCGCTCATCCAAGCAGTCGATGGTTAGGCCTATGTAACACATGTCCCAACCACCTCAATTGATGAAGATTCACGGCTTCATCATTCATTCATCACCCATCCTTACCTTCTACAAATAAGTTATCTCTTTCTACACTTGAAATTTTTTCTACCATCACTGAATTCTCATTGGTTACACTCAAAGCGGTCTGTTCAGTTATTTAGTAATACACACATCAGTTTGAATGAATAATACAAAGTTGATAAATTGTAATAATAAATTTATTTATCAATTTCGATGTAAACAATATGGTGTTTACTATGAATACATTTCGTGTATATGAAATGTTTATACAATTGCAAGTATCACTGATGTCGTGCAGGCAGATAAAGGGGATGTTAAGGGTTGTAGGAAGGATTTGATTGTGACTAATTTTGTCCTGTGTCTTGGTACGGGAACGAGGGCAGATGTCACCTCCTGGCTGCCTACGCCTCATACCACTGATGAAAACGATTCGGGTTCACGAAACGTTATTCCTGGTCTCCTGAAACCCCCCCCCGTTTCCTATATGTTACATTTGATTGTTTATCATCATCTTACAGTTAGAGAAAATCAAACCGAAGATCGAGGAGAGCGCAGAACAACCAGAGCACTCATTACAATGATCAACCTGTCAAGTCTATCATGATTGAAATGCAGAATCATTCTATAATATACTGTGTTCGGGTTAGATACTATGCAAACTAGTTAAGTCTACAAGCGATGGATGATGTAAGTGTAAAGTATCTGCAAGTAAGCAGAATTAGTGTTGTGTACGCTCAATTATAGAATGATTAAACACTTCAGGTTCTGATAATCTTACTTTTGGAATGAGATTTGCTTACAGCTGTAAGCAAATTTAAGACATTTTCTGAGGAGTAATAGTCATCGATGTAACGATTGGATGGATTGCGGTAAATTTACTAGTAAAGTAAATTCATATCAAGAGAAGATTTGTAATAGGGCTGTTTCACTGATGTCAAACAATTACGGAAGACATACCTAGCTTTATTGAATGTAAAGCATAGATTATTGAGTAGTTTGACAGAAAAAATCAGATTCAGTTTAGGTTTACTGGTCGGAGTCCAAGTTCATTACATCTGGATTTAAAATATAAAGTACAATCAGTTCCATGAATGCGTAGTGTAAATCTTCTCCGAACTGATTCCAGCCTTAATTCATCCTTTATGCAAACACTATTCAGAATAAACTTCAAGTATTCTAGATGTGGTCGAACACTATTTGTACATTCAAATACGTGATTCATTGTTATGGAGGTGACAAATGCTGAGGAGTAGAGATCTGTTCAAATACTTGGTCTGAAACGAATAAATAATCCGACTACTTCAGTCCTAACTCCGCCAGTAGAACCTTCACGGCTACTGCCGGTCCCAAGCCCGGATAAAGGAGGAGGGTTGGACATGGGGTTGGCAACCCCATTCCGTTGAAATCTCACTTGCCAAAAAAACGCTAACCAGAAAAAATAATTCAAACCATTTTAACTCTTCCCTGGGAGTTGCAAGAAAAATTGTGATGTCTCGTGATGAAAGCCGAGTTCCCTCGGAAGTCACGGGGCTGATGCCTCTTCTGACAGCCAGAGAAACCATACTTTTAGGTACATGGAACGTGCGAACATTGTGGGAGACTGGAAGACTATTTCAAGTTGCGACAGAAATGAAAAGATACAACCTCGAGGTGCTCGGCATCAGTGAAACGCGTTGGACACAGGTAGGACAACTGAGACTAGCTTCAGGGGAACTGCTGTTATACTCTGGTCATGAAGAGGAAAACGCTTCACATACACAAGGAGTTGCACTGATGCTGTCCAAACAAGCACAAAATGCACTAATAGGATAGGAATCTCATGGACCTAGGATCATTAAAGCATCCTTCAAAACAAAGAAACAGGACATTACAATGAACGTCATCCAATGTTATGCACCTACCAATGACTACAATGACGACGTTAAAGATCAATTCTACGAAAGGCTGCAGTCAATCGTCGACAGATGCTCACCAAAGGATTTGACCATTCTGATCGGAGACTTGAATGCCAAGGTTGGAATGGACAACACTGAATATGAAGACATCATGGGACGACATGGACTGGGAGAAAGGAACGAAAATGGTGAGAGATTTGCAAACCTATGTGCCTTCAACAAACTGGTCATCGGTGGCACAATATTCCCGCACAAACACATTCACAAAGCCACATGGATTTCACCGGAGCACACTACTCAAAACCAAATTGACCATATCTGTATCAACAAAAAGTTCAGAAGGACCATGGAGGATGTGAGAACCAGGAGAGGAGCTGATATATCCTCGGATCACCATTTGCTGATCGCCGAAATGAAACTGAAACTAAGGAAGCACTGGACAACTGGACAGACAACATCACAGAAGTTTAATACGGCCTTTCTTCGGGATACCGTAAAACTCAACGAATTCAGGATAGCCCTCACCAATAGGTTCCAGGCCTTTCAGGATCTACTCAATGGAGAGGAAGCAACATTGGAGAACAATTGGAAAGGGATTAAGGAGGCAATCACTTCAACATGTCAGGATGTCCTTGGTCGCAAGAAGCACCATCACAAGGAATGGATCTCTGTTGGTACTCTTGAAAAAATTGAAGAAAGGAGGAACAAGAAGGCAGCAGTGAATGTCAGCCGAACAAGAGCAGAGAAAGTTAAGGCGCAAGCCGAGTATACAGAAGCAAACAGGGAAGTGAAGAAGAGCATCAGAGCTGACAAACGAAAATATGTGGAAGATCTAGCAATGACCGCGGAAAAGGCTGCAAGAGACGGAAACATGAGACAATTGTACGAAACAACAAAGAAGCTCGCCGGAAACTATCGTAAACCAGAATGACCAGTGGAAAGTAAAGACGGCAAAGTAATCAGCAACACTGAAGAAAAGCGAAATAGGTGGGTAGAGCACTTTTAGGAACTATTGAATCGACCAGCTCCACTGAACACACCCAACATCGAAGCAGCATCCACGGGCCTCCCAATTAATATTGGCTCACCCAAAATTGAAGAGGTCACTATGGCCATCAGACAAATTAAGAGCGACAAAGCAGCAGGACCAGACAACATTCCAGCAGAAGCATTCAAAGCAGACGTGAAAGCAACTGCAAATTTATTTCACATTCTCTTCATGAAGATTCGGGATGAGGATTGGAAAGAAGGACACCTGATCAAAATACCAAAGAAAGGCGATCTCAGCAAGTGTGAGAACTACACAGGCATCACTCTTCTCTCAATACCAGGCAAAGTCTTCAACAGGGTATTGTTAAACAGAATGAAGGACTTCGTAGACGCCCAACTTCGAGATCAACAGGCCGGATTTCGGAAGGATCGATCATGTACTGACCAAATTGCTACATTACGGATCATTGTGGAACAATCAATTGAATGGAACTCACCTCTCTATATCAACTTCATCGACTACGAGAAAGCATTTGATAGTGTGGATAGGAAAACACTGTGGAGGCTTCTTCGACACTACGGTGTGCCTGAGAAAATAGTTAAAATCATATGGAATTCTTATGATGGATTCAACTGCAAAATCGTACACGGAGGTTAGCTAACAGACTCTTTCGAGGTGAAGACCGGTGTCAGGCAAGGTTGCTTACTATCACCCTTTCTCCTTCTCCTGGTGATCGACTAGATTATGAAGACGTCGACATCTGGAGGGAAGCACGGTGTCAACTGGACAGTTAGGACGCAGCTGGACGATCTGGACTTCGCAGTTGACCTGACTCATCGCACACGCAACAACAAATGCAAGAGAAGACGACCAGTGTAGCAGCAACCTCTGCAGCATCAGTTGGTCTCAACATACATAAAGGAAAAAGCAAAATTCTCCGATGCAACACAACATGCACCAACCAAATCACTCTTGATGGAGATGCCTTGGAGGACGTCTACACCTTTACATATCTGGACAGCGTCATCGACAATCAAGGTGGATCCGATGCAGATGTGAGGGCGCGGATCGGCAAAGCAAGAACTGCATTTCTACAGTTGAAAAATATCTGGAACTCCAAACAACTTTCAACCAAAATCAAAATCAGGATTTTCAATACAAATGTCAAGACAGTTCTACTGTATTGAGCGGAAACTTGGAGAACTACGAAAGGCATCATCCAGAAGATACAAGTGTTTATGAACAGTTGTCTACGCAAAATACTTCGTATTCGTTGGCCAGACACCATCAGCAACAACGTACTGTGGGAGAGAACAAGTCAGATTCGAGTGGAGGAGGAAATCAGGAAGAAGCGGTGGAAGTGGATAGGACACACATTACGAAAAGCACCGAACTACGTCATAAGACAAGCCCTTAATTGGAACCCTCAAGGCTAAAGGAAAAGAGGAAGGCCAAAGAACACATTACGCCGAGAAATAGAGAAAGATATGAGAGTAATGAAGAAAAATTGGACAGAACTGCAGAGGGAAGCCTAGGACAGAGTTGGTTGGAGAAAACTGGTGGGCGGCCTATGCTCGATTGGGGGTAACAGGCGTAAATAAGTCAGTACTTCAGTGCGAAGTCCACTATTGTATGAAATTTCGTTAACACTTTACCATTTATGGTTAGGTCTACAAGGTTGAGTAAAGGGTTGCTAAACCAGATCCATCCACACTTGGCAATATCAGGTCCAACTTTCATTTTACTGAACTACTTGATTGAGCTCCGTAGTGATATTGTACATTGTTCAGCGCATAACGGGACAATGAATACCCTTTAAGAGAAGAAATATCTGTACAGAAGCATTTGCAAATGTCATTTATTTAAGCTAAAAAGAGCAAGGGACTTAACACACTACCTAGTAGTACTCTACCTCTGATTGGAACAGCTTCCGATAAACAAAAGTCTATTTTATCATTGAATGTTAATGACTGAGGAAAGAGGGAATTCAACCAAGCAAGCGGAGACTTTCTAATCCCTTGAGATGTGAGTTTGCCTATAAGAAGCTGAGGGTAACCACATTCAAATCAAAGTCAATGTATTGCACTAAGACTGGGGTATCCTCGGTTACGTTGATTAACCAACCACTAAATTGGAAAAGTTGAAATAATTAAATTAAAAGAATTTTTCAGACCTTAGATCTTTAGTCATTAAAAACCAAAAGCATTAAATCAGCTCTTCCGATGAAGTCAAATAACTTTTCAATATTATAAATGAACGATTCTAAAGTTTATTGAAAATGAAAACCTTCGAACAATAAATAATTAAACCTTTTTATATCACTGAGTTGATATCTAATAAAACTTACATTTCTAACATCAGTCAATTCATAATATTTCCTGATTATCTATCTATCAATATCACCACTTGTAAATAACATTTTCATATCTAAAATGACTGAACTTCACTGATCACAGTATCTCTCACACTAGAACAGTTGAAATAACTTGGTAAGCTTTGTCACTAGTAAACAAACATATGACGATTATTATTACAACATAGGTGTTCTGTGAGGACTATTAAACTTGACAGCATACAGCATAAACTGATGATCTTATCTAAATATGAAATCACGAACCGATCAATATTAGACCAACGAGAAGCACTGAACGAAGGCTGCTTCGTTCTAATATGGGACCCATCAACAATGCGTATGAACGACACCTTGCTCGCAGAAATCGATTTTGTGATTTTGTAGTGAAGCATTCAATGTCTAGCTCACATGAATTGTCCCACTTGTCTTTTGACCTTGTTAATCATTCGTCGCTTTTATTCATGTGTGTACATGCCTACCTCGCTTGTTACATGTCTGTCTTATTTTTGTCATACTTTATCTAGTTGAATTAGTTCACTAGCCTTCTACACTTCACTTTATTCACCGATTCGCTCAGTCTCTGCGTGCTTGTGGTCTGCTGGTCCATTTTGTAGTGTGCCAAAATAAACGTTTTCAACACTTCGTGTTCACCTTCTGATCTATAAACCGTCAGGCGCTACTTAATAACGATTGTCTAGACGAGCAAATTACAAAGTCTAGGAACACGTTGGATACCGACTGTCACGAAGCTAGTGATACATTACACAGCACAATTTCAATGGAACTCAACAATCTCCCCAACACTATCATAGGAAAAATAATCTTTAAAATAAATAAATATATTTATTTTTATCTTTTGAAAATCTGAAATTTTCACAGTATCAGTTAAAGTCATGCACATGCACACATGCACTCGCACACACACACACACGAAGAAAACAGTAATCCTCATCATGAAAGCCATCCACAAAAGTAGGAGAAGAATATTGTTATGTTTGCCACCAGTTGTGATATGCTTGAGACTATATTACCAGTTCAATTTACTCGGTAAACGAGAGCGCGAAGACAAATGATCCAGTGACACGATAGACTATTCTAATCCGAGCGTCCCCATGCCCCACCCACTAAGAAGTAGATCAAGAAGTCTTGAGAAAACGTAGAAAGTGTATGTATTATTCTACAAGCACCCAAACCAACCCAGATTTTCCAGGTGGGAAATATAATCTCAAGGTCAACTGATCGGCGTATGCTCGAAAATATAAAATCCAAAATTAGGACCTTTATTTATCAATTGAGTTCTAGGAATCTAACATCCCCAACAAATATATACATATATACACAAGGGAAGCAGGAAACAAAAAGCCAGTAAATAATTGAATCAATAATATATGTTGAAGAAATTCATCCACCGTTATAATTCATCTTTCATATGTTTATCGGTAATCATTTGTGATGTGGATATTGGCAATGATAAAGTAGTATATTGTTTTTCATAAATCACTGGCCATTCAGTTAATGATTGACAATCGGTTGTAAATGATTCAGCGTTATAATGATTTGGTTTATATAAATGTATTGATCCATTGGTACATAAATTATTTAATGTAGTATTTGGTAAAAAGCCCATAATGGAACGTTCTTCAACAATACGAAATGTGAATGTGGATAAACTGGTCCCGATAAAATATCTGAATATATATAAGAAATTTTATTAAAAAAAAAGGTATACTTAACATTTTCAATTAGCAGTTATGGAGAATAGTAGTGCTTTTACACATTTGAAATCATTGTTAGACCACAATGAGGAACCTGGAAGCACTGGACGACCGTTCTGTCCTGGTATGGGACTCATAAGCAGTGCGCAGCCACGACTCCTGCATCTGGCATGACTCAAACCCGAGACCTTCGGTGTGGAAAACCTCTACTTGACGACTGGGCAGCATTATTTTGGTGAACAAGGTGGATCTGATACAGATGGGAGGTGTGGATCGGGAAACCGGTGACAGTATTTTCTACTACTGAATAACATCTGGAATTCAAAACAACTGTCTGTCACAAACATTAAAACCGCCTGTTGTATGATGATGAAACTTGGAGAACTCTACCGAAGCTATCATCGAGAAGATACAAGTGTTTCTTAACAGTTTTATACACAATATACTACGGATCCGTTGACAAAACACCATCAGTAAGAAAACAACTTATTTTGGGAAGGAACGACACAAATGTGCCGGAGGTGTGTACATAGCATAAATTGCACAAAGAGCACCCAACTGGGTCACGAGAAAAGATGAAGACCAAGGAACACATTATGCTGAGAATTGGAAATAGACATGAAAAAAGAATGAACAGTAAGTAACTGAGGACAGACAACTAGGAAAAGTGTTGGTTTTGGAGAAAATTGCTCCATTAAGAGCAGTACGTAGAGGAGTACGTAGTTAAGTAATCCTATGAAATATTGTAGTTATCAGTGTACACTATACAATCAACAAACTATATATACATATATATATATATATATATATATATATATAGGCGAGGAAGATTGTATTGTGCAAATTTACACTGAGTCAGTTAAAAACAAAAACATTACATTGAATACTCTATTTGCACACCATCTTTGAGTCGTGACTTTCAACACTCCATCCTGCTTCCATTCCTGTTGTTGCTTCCTTTCCTTCCTGTTGGTACTCCATTCACTTCTTGCTTCTTTCACGTCCCTTCTTATACTACTTATATCGTTCGTCTAGGTAGCACACACCACATATATATATATATATATATACATCCCATTTTACGACATTGCAATAAAAATGCAAAATACATGAATTACTAAATATTCATTCACAAAATTCAATTTCAATCAACATGTAGTAGTAGAGTATTTTATTAGATAGATAATAATGAGAATGAGAGAAAATAAAACTGATGCACAGTAGTAGTAGTAGTACTACTACTACTAGTTTATTACACTAAATAAAAGACAGAATCGAATTAGAGAAATTTATTCCAACTTCTTTCTACTGTGCTTTTTTTTAATTGAATTGGAACCAAAGAATTAAATTTAAAAAAAAGCGAATACCGCTGTATTCGCATATTTGCATATACAAGAAGTAATAATAATAAGAATAATAATAACATTTTATTCATAATTACTTGAAAGTTCCATGTGAGGGCTTGTCTCGTGACGCAGTTATAGTTGCTTTTCTCAGTGTTTGTCCTATCCACCACTTCCACCGCTTCTTCCTGATTTCCTCCTCCACTCGAATCTGGTTTGTTCTCTCCCACCTATAGGTTGTTGCTGATGGTGTATGGCCAACGAAAACGAAGTATTTTGTGTAGACAACTGTTCAAAAACACTCGTATCTTTTGGATGATGGCTTTCATAGTTCCCCAAGTTTCCGTTCCATATAGTAGAACTGTCTTCACATTTGTATTGAAAATCCTGAGTTTGGTTTTGGTTGACAGTTGTTTGGTGTTCCAGATATTTTTCAATTGTAGAAATGAAGCCTTTGCTTTGCCAATCCGTGCCCTCACATCTGCATCGGATCCACCTTGATTGTCGATGATGCTGCCCAGATATGTGAAGGTGTTAACGTCCTCCAAGGCATCTCCATCTAGAGTGATTTGGTTGGTGCATGTTGTGTTGCATCAGAGAATTTTGCTTTTTCCTTTATATACGTTCAGACCTACTGCTGCTACACTGGTCGTCTTCTCTTGCATTTGTTGTTGCGTGTGCGATAGAAGAGCCAGGTCCTCTGCGAAGTCCAGATCGTCCAGCTGCGTCCTAACTGTCCAGTTGACACCGTGCTTCCCTCCAGATGTCGACGTCTTCATAATCTAGTCGATCACCAGGAGAAGGAGAAAGGGTGATAGTAAGCAACCTTGCCTGACACCGGTCTTCACCTCGAAAGAGTCTGTTAGCTGTCCTCCGTGCACGATTTCGCAGTTGAATCCATCATAAGAATTCCGTATGATGTTAACTAATTTCTTACTCATAATATTAGAATAAATTATCATTGTGTATCAGTCAGTCAGTCAGTTACAATGTAGAAAATATTATTCAAGAAGTACAATTCAATGATATAGGTTTAGAAGGAGAAAGACAGAGGTGATAAGGAATTCAGAAGATTAAAATTAGAGACAATACAACGAATCAACAACTACTACAGCTGTTTTACCTACTGTAATCATTGTATATAGTGTGGTTTCGTTCTGTAAAGTTTGTGCTAACAATGATGTTATTGTTCAAAAGAATAATTAAAAGCTCCAGTTCTGAGTAGTAAAAAACCCCATGTTAATCATCCATCCATCTGAGCTACAAAATTTTCTCCTATGAAAATAAGTCACTGGTTTAAATGCAATTTAATTAATCCCATTGCAAGTTGATGAATAAACACACACACACACACACACTTGATACCAATAAACAACATACATGGAAAGGCATTAAAAATTTCAACTATAAATTTAAAAAAATTTACAACAAAATAACCAAAAAAAACACAACGGTTGAAGAAATCACTGATGGATGATTCATTCACAATGTAACAAACAAATAATTGGACATTGAACAAATATGTAAATGTCCATGTCACAATGCAATCGATCATTATTACTATGTATACATTGTAGTTGGTATTGATCAGTTTATTGAACATTGAATAAGTGAAAACGTTATAAAAAGACATCAACACATGACAAGATCATCATCATTCATCGATATCTGATTGATTGCCCTACATACACATACATATATAATAAGGTGCGCGCATGTGCATAAGACTTTATTTTGACCTACATTCTGGACAGTAAATGAATGAATGAATGAATGATAAAACTTTGTTTTTTTTCATTTCTCTAGGGCGAATCCTGTGAAAAGTTAAATCTCCATCGGTTAAAACTGAAGGTAGTATCATTATTATACAGTGTGTATACTGTTACGTTAAGCCTAAACGGTTTGTTCTAGCTTCTGGACAAACCGATTAACCTTAATGTTCTCTCATCGTTACTGACACATCGCATGATCGTGTTCAACAATCTCTTATTATAACTTTGGCTGCATTTATTTGTGTGTGTGTGTGTGTATGTGTATGCTTAGTTCGCTTACCACAACATATGTTTAGTTTATATATCTCTCTATCTGTCTCATTGAATGGGAGGTAGCCCATTGGGGCTTTTTTCGGTTCACTTTGTCACACTTCGTTATTTTACGCTTTTCATTCTTTATGCCTTTTTGCATTACTGAATGTATGAATTAAAATTTAGCCAAACGAAAACATGTCAGGCTTTGAATTTATCGCCATTGACGGTGTTTCAGATATTTTTCTTCTCAATATGATCACAAAGAGGCGAAGTAGATGGATAACTGAGTTTATGCTACAAATATATACAATTGAGGCAATGCAATCATTGAACTTGAACTAAAGCCTGTCAACCCCAATGAAGCATAGGCCGCCGCCGACCAGCATTCTCCAACCTTCTCTGTCCTCCGGCCTTCCTTTCCAGATCTGTCCAGTTGTTGTTCATTCTTTTTCATGTCTGTCTCTAATTCTCGGCGTAATGTGTTCCTTGGCCTTCCGCTTTTCCTTTGACCTTGAGGATTTCAAGTGAGGACTTGTCTGGTGACGCAGTTCAGTGCTTTCTGCAACGTGTGTCCTACCCACTTCCAGCGCTTCCTCATGATTTCCTCCTCCGCTGCAATCTGCTTTGTTCTCACCCGTATTAGATTGTTACTCATGCTGTATGGCCAACCGATCCGAAGTATTTTGCGTAGACACGTGTTAATAAATACTTGTATCTTCTGGATAATGGCTTTGGTAATTCTCCAAGTTTTCGTCTCATACAGTAGAACTTTCTTGACATTTTATTAAAAAATTCTGACTTTGCTGTTGGTTGACAGTTGTTTCGAATCGCAGATGTTGTTCAATTATAGAAATGTCTTGTTATTATTTCGTTGTATTGTATTATTTTTTTTACAATACAACGCAATAATAACAAGATAGAAATGATTTGCGTCGTCGATAGATTCATATGACTGCACAATCTAACCAATAGGATTATTCAGCTTATTTAGTAGTATAAGTTAAAAAAACATCTAAAAATAGTGAACCGTTGATGTTGTTAGTAAGTTACACTGTCTTATGAACAACAGTACTACAACAATAGGTAGCTACATTAATTTCACTTGGGCAAGGCACATGTATACACATATAACAAATGTCTAAAATGTTATATATCAATGTAGTTTATACTTTCCAACAGATTGATACAAAAATAAATCAACCTTAATATATTTTGACAGGAATTAAGTTCAAAACAATTTATAAGATATAATATAATATACTGTGGTGCGAGCTACTTATAAGTAGTATATGGCGTGAGTGTCAACGTAATGTCTGGCAGCAGAAGATGGGGGAAGATCAAGAAAGGAAGAGTGGGAACACAATGGAATTTGTATGAAACGCATGAATAGTGACAATGGATTGATGTTTGGCAACAGGAACAGTCCAGTTCGATATGATGAACTGATATTTTGCAAATTAACGATTTACGATATGGTTTTCCGATTTTACTGAGTAACTCTGTAATTTTCGTTAAATACAATTCGGTTGCTCCACCTGTGTTCTCCTTCACTACAATGCTATTCAATCAGTTTACAAAGAAAAGGAGCTTGTTGGTAGATACAGGAAAATTAATCTGTTCTTTTGGAGTCATTAGCCACACATATTTCAACCTTGTCAATGATTCATTTGTAAATTTGATTGTTGTTTTCTATTCAAGCCTAAGTGTATGTTGCTGGTTGGTTGGTTGGTTGGTTGTAGGATGTTGGCCGCCGACCTATGCTCGATTAGGGGTATTAGGAGTAAACAAGTAAGTAATCTGCATCTATCCACATCAGTAAACAGAAGTAAGTCAAGAGTACTTCGAGTGATTCTTTCGAAAAAAAAACCCTGAAAGAAACCTGTCTTGAAACTTCAAGCGCATGAACTGAAACTAAACTATCCACCTAAGCCAATATATGAAGTAGCTGAGCGTATCGACCGCTTCACTTATCTGGGGAGTCTAGTCAGTGTTAATGGCCTGGTGACTGACGAAATCTCAGCTCGGATACAGAAGGCTTGATTGGTTTTTGCCAACCTGCGTCACTTATGGCGTAGGTGATATATCCGTTTGATAACCAAAGAATGAGTGTATTGTGCAGCAGTTTGCTCCGTCCTACTCTATGGCTGTGAAACATGGCCAGTAAGAGTAACAGATATTCGTAGGTTACTAGTATTCGATCATAGGTGTCTTCGAAGCATTGCTCGTATATCGTGAGACAACCGAGTAAACAATGCTGTCGTTAGGAAACGAGTTCTAGGTAAGGATGGCAAATCAATAGATGAAGCATTGAAACTTCATCAGTTGAGGTGGTTGAGACATATGTTACGTATGCCTAATCACTGACTGCTTCGTCGAGCTATGTTTTGCAATGTAGGAAAAGAATGGAAGAAATCTAGAGTCGGTCAAGCCAAAACACGGCACAAATCCATTAAGTTACTGACAAGTGAACTAACAATCAGCAGTGATAATATCTAACTTTGATCAATTCATAATACTACATAACGAACCATTTCAAGTATAAGTAACAGTTACTTACTGGAGTCAATAGAATATGTTCCAGTAATATTGTGAATATTGTTATTCACTGCACGGGAAGTGGATAGGACACGTATTAGGAAAATTATACAACTGCATTACAAGACAAGCCATCAATTGGAACTCTCGAGGACAAAGCAGAAAAAACAGACTGAAGAACACATAGCGCCGAGAATTGGAGACCAATATAGAAAACAAAACGAATAGCAACCGGGAAAAACTGCAAAACGAAAGCGGACGACAGAGTTGGTCGGAGGATCCGGATCAATGGATTGTACTCCTTTAATATTACTACTAATAATGGTAACAATAAAAACTCATACAAAGAATGTAAATACAAAAAAACAAACAAATCGATACCTGGCATGTGCACAAATCCACTGATCGATAATTGCCGAACCACCTGGGCCATACAATTTCCATTCGAATTCATTTGGTTCATAATGAAATATTTGAAATGGATAAAGGAGACTTTTCAAATTTTCAAGTTCTATAATATATACACATAACAGAAAACAAGTCAATTGATACTTTAGAAATATACTACTAATACTAAATTATGATAACAATAGTAGTTTTAAAGCACTATACTATAAAATATTCAACAATGATGTGAAATTATTAGTATTTTTTAGACTAGAAAAAAAATTCATACTTCAAATGATTAAAGTCCTTTAACTTGCTTCCATATGATTACAGTAATACTTATAGAATCTGACTTCTTTAAGCTGATGATGTCTGGTAAATGTCTGTGCTCATCGACCATCGTTATCATAACCATCTCTAAAGGAATGCTTATCCTAGTCGGAGTTCTAGAGATCCAATTTGGTCTCATGTGCTGTTACGAGTATAAGGGCGGATGTCACTTCCTGGCTGCTCACACCATAGAAGGGTGTTCCGTGAGGAACCTGAAAAAGAAATTGCATTAGCATTGCTCTTAGCGGCCGCAAGGTACGGTAAAGTGTGATATTTTTAGGGTTGAACTTTTCTAACCCTTCCTTCCTTGTGAGAAGGCGACATCGCTGCAGATACTGGTTGTCCAAGGGAAACACCTTACTACTGTCACACCCCTCTGCAGTCAGCAGTACAACTTCACCCTCAGACCTTGAGTTGTTGCTTTTAGTCTCACCGTTCTCCAATCAACCTGCCTGGCATGTTAGAACCTACAAGAACATATTTTCTAGCCGATAAAGCTCGATTGGATCATCACGATAGGCAAGCCCGACCACCACGTCAAGGTAACAGCTACAATTGACTCTTGTAGAATTGATCTTTAACGTCGTCATTGTAGTCATTGGTTGGTGCATAGCATTGGATAATGTTCATTGTAATGTCCTCTTTCTTTGTTTTGAAGGATGCTTTGATGATCCTGGGTCCATGAGATTCCCATCCTGTCAGCGTCTTTTGTGCTTGTTTGGACAGCATCAGTGCGACTACTTGCGTTTGTGAGACCTTTTCTTCTTCACGGCCAGAGTGTAATAGCAAGTCGCCTGAAGTTAGTCTCAGTTGTCTAACTTGCGTCCAATGCATTTTACTGATTCCAAGCACCTTCAGGTTGTGTCTTTTCATTTCTGCAGCAACTTGAAACAGTCTTCCAGTTTCCCACATTGTTCGAAAATTCCATGTACCTGAAAGAATGATTGCTCTGGTCGGCAAACGGGGTGTCGGCCTCGTAACTTCCGAAGGAACGCGGCTTTCATCATGAGATGTCATAACTCTTCTGAATGAAGATCTTCTAACTCTCAGGACAGAGTTTAAATGGTTTGAATAACGTTTTCTGGTTAGCGTTTTTTGGCGAGTTAGTTTTTTATGGGATGGGGTCTCCATCACCATACCTAACCCTCCTCCTTTATTAGGGCTTGGGACCGACAATAGACTCAGAGGGGCTCCAGACGGGGTTATACCCATTGAGATATAATAATATAAAAGCTTGATTCAGGGAAGAGTTCTTTTACCTTTGAATTCATTCTTAAAAATTAATACTTTTAATTTAAAAATGATAATCTAGTACCATCATATCTTTCTTCCTAATTCATTTCTCTACTGACCTTTTACTTCTAACCAACTTATTTCCAACCAAATTGTATTGCATGTATGAATCTTTTGATTGATGTGTAAGGACTCCCTCTATATTGTCATTAAGTCACAAGCATCATGAGCTGAGATGGATGTTGGTTAGCACTGGGATCCAGAACACGCATTTCATCCCGTTTAGGGTTCATTAGCAATAGTTAACTTCCTATCAGAAATGATATCCACCTCGAAACCTGAACTCACTATCGTTTGCTTCAGATATCAACGGGTTATCCACTTAGCTACTAAGTCTACATAGCTACTTGCCTGAGCAATCGGATGAAGATGATGACATTTGTATTGGCTATTTGAATATTCCCATTGGTGCAATTGATAAGTCTCCTTTTTTGGGATTTGTACATCCTATGCGACTTGCCTTCAGGTTGAAAGCATTGTTAACAAAGGTGAATAAGCATGAATGGTATAACGAGTTCACCTTATTCGGTAAACGGAACAGAGATCAACGATACAGTGACACGATAGGCTATTCTAATCCGATCATCCCAGGCAGAGCCAAACCGAGAAAGAAGTCTTGACAAGGCATAGAGAAGGTATTCTACAGACAACCCAGAAAATATGAGGTTGCTAAGCACACAATGATAAAACGTCCTTAGTGAGAGCCACAAAATAGCGTACTAAAATAATCCATCAACCGATGATAGCCAAGGATTTTCCGAGTGGGAAATGTGAGCTGAAGGTTAGCTAAGCAACTTATGCGCGAAAATATATAAAATTCAAAATTTCAGAATGAAATTACAAAACTAGGACCTTTCGAAGTGACTTCTGAAGATCCATCATCCCCAAAAGGCTAGCAGTGAAATCCAGTACTCGTCTTTAGTTGGCTGCAACTGCATTTCCGATTCGATGTTCACTTCAAGATTCGAACCCCGTGCCGTTCACTTTAAATCCCAGTAGGTATGTTGACTTAAAACACGATGACGTTATCAATATGAATATTTAGAAAAAAATAAAACATCTACAGTTTGACCGACGAATTTATCGAAAAGACAACTCTTCTCTTAATCAATCTTTCTCATCTAATACAACGATCTAAACGAAAATTGATTGCGTAAGATGTTACCGCACAGACGCGTGAGCACACCTGTCATAGTGAAATTGGCTTTTTTTTCCAACTATTATATGCATACAAACTCACCTTTTTTATCAGTGTCTGTGGCTATGTAAATTCTATCGATTGGATGATTTTCATATTGATTAAATATTTTGATAGTATTTAAAATGTGTTGAGCTGTTGTTGTAGCGGTACGATTACTTGTAGTAGTACTTGTAGTAGTAATAAAATCTCCACGACGCCAATGAATAGCTACATATGGTCCACCGAATGCTGGTGAAAGTGGCCATTTCGGATGTAACCAATGTGAACCAGGACCGAGATGTTCAACGAATAACGGTGGCATTGTACGATCTGACAGATCATTTGAATGTAAATAAGTTTCACGATAATGATCACCTGTTTTACGTAAATGATTTGCAAATGTCATACTACGACGTACCTAAATATCAAAATTTTAATATAAAATAAGATTATGACAGGAAATACTGAAAAGTAATTACATTTTATTACGTTAGGATATTCATCAAATATCCTGAGAGAATTATTTTATAAGTCTAATTCTATTGGTCAATTCCTGTTGGTGAATTCCTATCGATCGTCCTAACTACCACTGCCACATACTTCAAATGTTGTTTCCTATTCGACCTAAATGTATAAATATGCATTGTCTGTAACGTTTTGTGACCTGAATCCTTAATCCGGGGTCTTTATTCTCCCCTGGATTCGGACCTCATATTTTCTGGGTTCTTGTTGAATACGCTTTCTACTTCATTTAAAGACTTCTTCTACTTAGTGGGGCTTGGGATACTCGGATTAGAGTAGCCTGTCGTTTCGTCGGACCATCGATCCTTGATCTCGTTTACCGACCGAGGAGAACTTGTAATAGTTCAAGCATAATCAATTGACGTGGTGAAGCTGCATCGTACCACTGTACTACATGTTATTGGAAATACAAATAACCAAATAAACTTTGTTTGATATGCATAACTGATAATTAACTCATCAACTGAACATAACGCCTGTATTCGATAGATCACTTGTGTGATGACTAATGTCATGTTCATCAAGTCCCTTTTATTGATCTAATTTCGTCGATTAAATTGCAATGTGTTCATTAATCTAAGCGACTTAACATTGTGTTCAATAGGTTTTGATGTTAGGTGGTTATAAGTAATCGGTAGGAAACTCTGGATAAAGGTTTCAGTCTAAATAGTTATCGTCAGCAAAGCGTACCTTTAATCTTAAACAAACTAAGCTTTACTGGTGATATCGAGTCTAAGTGTCACTCAGCTTCGCTGCCTAAGATCTTATCAATGAGCGAAACAACTGTAAATATCTATCCTACAGGTGATTAGTCACAGCCCAAACAGTTCAGTAGTAAAGACTCAAACTGTGCAGCCGAATGATTTGGGTTTGCAACTAACAGTGAGCATCAATCTTCTCAAGGTTGAAGATAAGTCCTGCTGATGAAACTCAAGTCAAGGATTTCGGTCGTTCAACTCATACGCCATTGGAAAGGCAAATCTACTAGCGGTCAAACGCTACGTCTGATTTTTGATGTTGGATAATGGATTGTTCAAGATCAGACTTATGAAATATCTTAGCACACATTTGATTTTCTTAAAAAAACTTACTAACATCATTTACTTTAGTGCAAAATCTAATTGTATTTAGGATGTGCAAAAGTACTAAGGAATTACTATTTTACCAGCTAATGCTTGGTAATGTGTTCAAAATATTACTGTTATGGACCTAACTAGTTTCCATTGACAGATTGCCTTGATTTCACGACTGTAACTACCTGAATGTTGTAGTGTGCTTTATTAATTTGTAATGCAAGTGAATTCTATAAATGTATTAACTGAGTCATTGTTTTATATTATCTTTTGTACTGCGCTCCATCCTACTCTGTGGCAGTGAAACATGGTTAATAAGAGTAGCAGATATTGGTAGGTTACTGATATTCGCTCATAGGTGTCTCAGAAGCATTGCTCGTTTATCTTGATACTGTCGAGTAAACAATCCACTTAGTAGGAAACGGAAACAAGGTAAGAATGGCAAATCAGTGGATGAAGCAGTGAAACTTCATCAGTCGAGGTGGTTGGGACATGTTTGATGTATGCACAACCACTAACTGCTTCGACGAGCTATGTTTTGTGATGTAGGGGTAGGTTGGAAGAAAGCTAGGTGTGACCAAACCAAAACATGGCACGAATCCATTAAGTCGCTGACAAGTGGACTCAGTCATGTTGGTAGATGTAATCTGCCTGGTTGGGGTTAGGATCTTGCGCGCAAACGTCTAACCTCTGGTATGAGGTTGTGCTAGACCGTAAAATTGATCGAAGTTAGACATGAACACCGTTAGTTACAGGCCCAGTGGTTAGGCGTTCGCGCACAAGACTGACGGTCCCAGGTTCGTAATCCTGCAAGGTGCAGGACTCGTGGATGCGCACTGCTGATGAGTCCCATACCAGGATGAAACGGCCATCCAGTGCTTCTAGGTTTCTAACGGTCGTCTAACATTGATCGATTCATGATTTCAGATGTATAAATTAAACTCTTATCCTGTGGTAGTTTTTTTTCAGATAATCATCAAAATTATTTAAAGTAGTGAACTAATTTTTTTTTTGCTCAACTTCATCATAACATCAAACGTTTGTGTATAGGGAAGAAAATAAAAACACTTACAGTCCAATATTCTTGACTCCATTCACTCCAATGACCATGTATGATTGATTGAGCTGAGCCTAAGTATAATGTTCTATAAACACAAAGAGAAAAAATAATAATAATAGAATACACGCGTTTCTAAATGTATAAGCAAGTGCATCGGCGAATGCTAAAATAAACTGGAAGCTAACTAACTACCTTTGAGAAATAGTTTTCTACTTACTTCAAAGATGACTTTGAACATTGAATCTATTTTTGATCAAACGATCAATGTTTAACAAGATGTTCGATTATTGAACAGTTAGTTCAATGACTAGCTTTCAACATTTTTATTTTCAGTTAAGCCAAATAATGTGCTCTTGAATTATTATTCAAGATAAAATACGCATCAAACAGATCATATACCTGGCTTGGCTTTACATGAACAAGTTATGAGATGGTGGAAAAGATTTGTAGCTCAGGTGGATGATTGTGGTGGTGGTGTTTGGTTCTCTGAGCTGGGTGTTTTGGTTGTGGAGCCTTCATTGTTCTTCTACTGAACAACATCATTAGTAGTACAAACTTCAGATAGAACAAGTGAAGCATTCGAATTTCTCCACGTTTGACCTGTAGCTTGTTCTGCTAACCTCAATCTTGATTGGTTGCTGTTGACTTTTGACCCGTCGTTGTTTGCAACTTTGTTTTGATTGCTACAGGTCAAACGTGGAGAAATTCAAATGCTTCATTTCTATCTGAAGTTTGTGCTGATGATGTTGTTCAGAATGAGAACAATGAAAGCTTCACAACCAAAACAACTAGCTCAGAGAACGAAACACCACCACAATGAACAAGTTAATTGATAAACGTACGCAAGCAATATGGATAGATTGCGACTAAACAACAACGTACAAATTAAATCAATCAATATAAAACTCTTTTGATTCATCTTCATCATCATCAACAGCAACGTAGAACTTCGTACGTACGTACGTACGTACATCAGTTCAAGTTGCCACACCACATCAGCATAGAGATGCAATTGTCAATTCAAATCCAATAGTAGTAAGGGTGGTAAAGGTATCATCAGTAATCAGAGAGATCAGGGTTTGACAGTATTATTCAAGAAGTAGAATCTAGTGAAATAAACTTGAAAAGAAAAAGATAAAAGTGATGATGAATTCAGGAGGTTAGGATTTGAGCGAACACAAAGAATCAATGCACCAGCTCCATTGCAAACAGTTTTAAACCATGTCATTCAGGGTCTCTAACCATCGATTACTATCACCTTGCAGGCCCCGACCAGGTAGTCGAAACCTACCAACATAAATCAATCCAGTTATCAGTGACTTCATGGATTTGTGTCATGTTTTGGTTTTGGCCGCCCCTAGCACTCTCTTTTAATTCAAAGAACACACACAAACCTGCTTTATTTATCGAATCTAACTAAGAGTAAATAATCTTAATAATTTCTTCAAATGATTAAAATTTAGATGAAATAAACCACTATAGTCAACAAATTCGTTGTAAAATAAATCAATCCAGACGAAAAAAAACACATGACACAAATCCATGAAATCACTGGAAAAAAAAAAATAGCAACCAATGATTAGAGACTTTTAATGACATCATGGCCCAAAATCGTTTGCATGCATGCACTGGTGCATGCATTTTTCTGTCTTCTCTCAAATTCTAATCGTCAAAAGGTCTTCATGACCTTCAGCTTGAATAATATCCTCACATCCTAATCTTTCCGATTACTTCTTATACTTCCTATTACTTCTACCAATCTATAAGGTTCGAACTGACAACGCCAACTCTGTGTGTGTGTTTGTGAACGTGTTCTGCCAAATTGAACTGATTTACATGCGCACAAAATTGAACAGAATGGAAAACAAACAAACAAACTTACGAAATCGGCTTTTCAGAGTTTTGAATTAATTGAATTAAAAATGGCGCTAAATGAATCGGTTCTAAATCGCCAGTAATACAATCATATTCAGATGCGATCATTGGTAATAGATCATTTTGTAAATTAAAACTATTTCCTTCAAATAATTCCATTGGTTGATTAGATGTTGATGTTGATGAGTCCTATAAATCAAAAAAGGATGAAAATAATGAATAGTTTTCGTCTTCTTTATGTTGAATGAGATGATTCATAAACAGCATATTGAAATACTGCGTCAATCAGAAATGGATCCAGTCAGTCAGTCAGTCAGAGTCCATTACCACTTAGAACTTCGTACGTAAGTAGATCAGTTCACGTTGCCATACCACATTAGCACAGTTCAAATTCAATGGTGGTAGCGATAGTAGAAGTATTAGCAGTAATGGAGAAGATTATTAGGGTTCGAAGATATTATTCGAAAAGTATAATCCAGTGAGATAACTTTAAAAAGTGGTGATGAGGAACTCTGAGGATTAAAATTCGAGTGAACAAAAAAGAGTGGATGCACCTGTGCCATTGTAAATGATTTTGAGTTATGTCATTCAAGGTCTCCAACCACTGTCGACTTTCGTCTCGCTGAAACCAACCACGTGGCCTACATCTACCAACACCACTTAGTCCACTTGCAGAAACGAATCCAATGAGAAGACTATCATTAAAAAATTTCCTAGACACCAAATGCACACCACTGTTGAAGAAATGACTTCTTTTTTCCAAGCTCTATATATATAAATGTATAGACAAGTATTTGTATATATTATTGGGCAGCAATAGTGATTTCTCGTTAGCGTTCTTTTTAGCAAGTTAGCTTTTTACTGGATGAGGTAGCCTACCTCAATCTCAACTCTCCTCCTTTATCCGGGCTTGAGAACGGCTGTAGCCCTGGAGGGTCTACAGGTGGAGTTCACTAGGTTCTGCTTCCTAAATAATATCGTTGAACCCTAATCTCTTCTATTACTGCTAATACTTCTACTGGGATTTGAAGTGACAATTGCATTTCTGTGCTAACGTGATATAGCAACTTGAAATGATGTACGTACAAACGAAGTTCTATGTTGTTGTTGACTGACTAACTGACTGACTGACTGAGCCATATAGACTTTTTCTTCAAGTTGGGAGAGGGAGTAGCACCTACTGCACATCATAACAGATACAATGCATAATTTGATAAGTAAATATGTATAAGCTTTAAAAAGTAGATGTACTTAACAAATGACTTGTAAATGAGTGTTTAAAAGCGAAAGATTTCTTTCTAATTAGTCCATTTTTTGTATAAAAAAAAGACTGTACAATTTTTTTTTGGATTGAAATGAGATCTGTGTAGATTAATTTAATTTAAATGTTGTATTCATCATAGATATGTCAGAAATAAAATCAATATCATTGGATAAAATAAATGTCGAGTTACATACCGAAATAGATTGAATTTAGAACTATCCTATCGTATGCTGGAACTACGAAAGGCATCATCCAGAAGATACAGTACTTCCAGGTTTCTAATGGTGGTCTAACAATGATTGATTGATGATTTCAAATGTGTAAAAACGCAAACCTCCAAAACTGTGCCGCAAAATATCGTAACAGTGCTTGCTCACTAGTGACTAGCTTCGTGAGGAAATTCTCGGAGTTCTAGTTGAGAAGACGTGACCAGTGGAGTTCAACCCTGTCAGGTGTGTAGGCAGTAATTACCAAAGACAAATGGGTGAGGTTGCGCAAAATTCCTAGATCAACCAGAGTTAGACATTAACACCGTCGGATGCCGGCCCAGTGGTCCGATGGTAAGGCGTTCGCCTACAATGCCAAAGGTCCCGGGTTCGAATCCTGAGAGGAGCAGGAGTCGTGGATGCGCACTGCTGAGGAGTCCCATGCTAGGACGAAACGGCCGTCCAGTGCTTCCAGGTTTCTAATGGTGGTCTAACAATGATTGATTGATGATTTCAAATGTGTTTATTAACAGCTGTCTAGACAAAATACTTCGGATTCGTTGGCCAGACACCATCAGCAACAACGTACTGTGGGAGAGAACAAACCAGATTTCAGTGGAGGAGGAAATCAGGAAGAAGCGGTGGAAGTGGATAGGACACACCTACGAAAAGCACCCAACTGCGTCACGAGACAAGCCTTCACATGGAACCCTCAAGGCAAAAGGAAAAGAGGAAGGCCAAAGAACACACTACGCCGAGAAATAGAGAAAGATATGAGAAGAATGAACAAACATTGGACAGAACTGGAGACGGAAGCCCAGGACAGAGTTGGTTGGCGAAAACTGGTAGGTGGCCTATGCTCCATTGGGTGTAACAGGTGTAAGTAAGTAAGTAAGTATCGTATGCTGATCAAGTAGCTAGAATCGATTAAACGTTCGCCATGAGACCTTTCGCTCGATAACCGATATGTCTGTACTATTGATGAGTTTCATACACACCTATGAGACAGCAGCTGTTCAGGGCACATTAACTGTCAAAGTTACATCAACAGTATTACTTTTTTTAGGATCAGATCATTTATGATGCGAAATTTCATTATATAATCTTAAAATAAATGCTTATTGAACAAGGGAATTCATGAAATACAAAAGAAAATGTAAAATCGTTTGAGTACAAAAAACTAATTATGAATGCCATTCCAGTCAGTCAGCTACATACGTAGAACTTTGTACATACTTACTCCAATTCAAATTGCCATACCACATTGGCACAGAGCAATAAAAGCGTCACTTCAAATCCCATACAGGGTAGACGTAGAAGAAATATAAGAAGTAATCGGAGAGATTAGGGTTTGATGATATTAATCAAGGAGTATAATTCAGTCAAACAAATTTGGGAAGAGAAAGATGAAGGTCAAGAGGAATCCAGAAGATTAGAATTTGAGAGAAGATGAAGAATAGATGCACCATTGACATTACAAACGATTTTGAGCTAGGTCATTCAAAGTCTCTATTCACTGGTTACTACTCTCTCGCGGATCACAACCAGGTAGTCTACACCTATATACATGGCTCAGTCTAGTTGTCAGTGACTTCATGGATTTTTGCCATGTTGTAGTCTGGCAGCATTTCTTGCTGTATGTATCTCATATAATTGGAAATAACTACTCATTTCACTCTTTTTTCCTCAGCGTCACCACTATGAGATATGTTGATTTGAACCTGCATATATTTATATCCAGATTCTAGCACGTTGAGTTTTAGTGGATATTCAATAAAAGCCGATTAAAACATTGATGAGAACAATTTTTTTCAAAAAAGACATGGAGAAAAAGGGCTATGGATATTCAATAAATTTGTTGTACCGAGTACCTTCAGACAATTTTTCATTCATTTATAATAAGCGCGATAGTGTAATTTCCATAAAAGATTTCCTAACAACCTTCTGAAATTATGAGCAATTATCTATCTATTATAAACCTGTCATTCAATCATAACTCAATATGTCAGATGAAAAACACAGATATAATCAATGTGAAGAAGACCTGAAATAAAATTTCTAACAAAATTTATAATTTCGTAGACACAGTAATCATTCACTTTAATTCTATGAACAGAAAAAAAAGGTAATCGAAAAAGGTTGCGTACAATAACGATTATTGAACATTGATTACATCGTGGACAATCACTGATTCCATGAATCAATCAATGTTAGACCACCATTACAAACCTGGAAGCACTGGACGGCCGTTTCGTCCTGGTATGGGACTCCTCAGCATTGCGCATCCACGACTCCTGCACCTCACAGGATTCGAACCCAGGACCATCGGTATTGTGCTGAGTCCCATATCAGGACGAAACGGCCTTCTTTCAGTGCTTCCAGGGTTCTAATGGTGGTCTAACATTGATCGATTCATGCTTTCAAAAATTTGTAACTTAACAATCTTCACAACCCCGTAATGCAAATCACGGATTCATCATTCTCATCACTTACATTTAATCGATATAATTCACGTATTCCAAATGGACAAAAATCTACTTTACGCTTATTGACATTTGAATATTGTTTTAATTGTTTATGAAAATCACCACGAACTAATTGAAGAGCTAAATCAATTTTCAATGGATAATTGAATGATTTATTGTTCAATGAAGATTGTTTTGAATCTAATAAAATAAAAATTAATGAAAAAAAATGAATTTTTTGAAAAATAAAAACATTTTTAGCAGTTTTGAAGATAGTTTGACCTATTTTTTTCACATAAAAGAAAATTGCATGAGAAAGCCAACATAATTACTTCCAAAGTTCGAACACTATGCAATGCATGTTAGTGTACACAACCAATCCAATCCACCCAGTTAATAAACTAGTATCATGTGTTAGTATATAGTTGATTTGTAGAGATTGTATAATTTTCATAGTTGAAATCGAAAATCTGGAGGCGTCGAACGGCAGTTTTGTTCTCGTGTGGAACTCCTCAGCAGCTCACAATCACCATCCTGCAAATGGGAGTCTATCCCAGGACATTCGGTCGGGCGCACAAACGCATACCTTATAGATCACTGAGCCAGCAGCACCCAACAGTCTGAATGCTCAACTTCTATCAACGCATAACTTTATATTATTACACACTGATATGGTGAATCAATCAGAAGTGACCTGATGAGAATGCGACTTAGTAACCATCAGAAAATATCCTAAATGATGAATGGTTACCTATTATGAGGAGATGGGATATATATCTATGCGCAAGCCCATGTGGATTATTGGTTTGAAATAAGATTTTTCGAACTCCCTAGACGTATATCCCCAGACCCATTAACCTGGTTTAAGCACCAGACATTCGATTTCTGTCATCTTAATTTCGCAAAACATCCCTGCAGCGAGAAAGCAGTGAATAAGACTTCCTCGTCAGTGGCTATACACGCGTGGCCATACGAGAGCATTTCAAGAAAGTAATAAAAGGAACTCCTCCCGTTCTCTACCACACCAATGAATTTGAGGCCAAAATAATTGATAACAGTCACTAGTAAATACTGTGTTTTAAATACCGAGGCGAAAATTAACTCGTACTGTATGTATATATATGTCAGAGTCAGTCAGTCAGATGCAACGTAGAACTTCGAACTTAAGTACATCAGTTCATGTTGCCATACCACATTAGCACACAGATGTCATTGTCAATTCAAATCCAATAGTAGAAGAGGTAGTAAAAGTATCAGAAGTAATCGCAGAGGTTAGGATTAGAAGATATTATTCAACAAGTATGATTCAGTGAGAAAAGTTTAAAGAGTCGAAACTAGGGGGGTTGAAGAATCCAAAAGATTAGGGTTTGAGAGAACACAAAGCATGAATGCACCGGCGCCATTGCGAACGATTTTGAGCCACGTCATTCAAGGTCTCTAACCATCGATTATTATCATCTCGCGGACCCCAACCAGGTGGTAGTCGACAATTACCGACATGGCTAAGTCCACTCGTCAATGACTTCATGGATTTCTGCCATGTTTTGGTTTGTCCACCCCTAACTTTCTTCCAAACTATTCCTACACTACAAAACAAAGCTCGACGAGGCAGTCGGTATGGTTAGGCATACGCAACACCTGTCCCATCCACCTCAACTGATGAAGTATCACTACTGCGTCTATTGATCTGCCATTCTTACCTAGTACCCGATTCCTAATAACAGCGTTGCTCACTCGGCTGTCCCACGACATACAACCAATGTACATATAAATATAAGCAAAAAAAAGCCGAAATCACCTACCAACACTGCGTTGAAATTCCATTAAATCCATAACTGGTATAAATAATGAAAGACTATTCAAATCAAAAAACACTGACCATGGGATCGCTGACCAATTATTAAAATAATAACTATGATTTGTATATTTTTCATATGATCTATCATTAAACCAATGAGGGAGTGGACCCCAGGGCGGTAAAACTAATGTCCAATCATCACCAGTTAAATTTTCTTTGACATCAATGTTATCCAAAGCAAATTTTGGTATTTGACTTGGATCTCTTAAAAGACTGTGAAAAAAGATGAAAAAAAATTTAAATGAATTTTTCTACTTAAATAACAGAAACACACAAAAATAAATGAATAATAAAATCTTTTTTGACTAAGATCTTTGTTAATCATTGATAATATTTTTTTAAAAAAAAAGACTGTCATTTACAATTCACTGATTTTGTCAATCAGTCATAAACAGTGTAGAACCTGGAGAGAGAAAAGCTTATGAATCAATTTAAATCTCCATACTATGTGAACACAATGAAATGAAACTATCAAGATAAATACTATGTACTGATACCATGTTTTGGTTTGGCCTACTCTAGTTTTCTTCTAGCCTACCCGGTACATCACAAAACAGCTCGTCAAGGCACACGTAACATATGTCCAGACCACCTCAACTGATGATAGTTCACTACTTCATCAATCGATTTGTCATCCTTACCTAGGACTCAATTCCTGACTATAACATTGATTACTCGGTTGTCCCATGATACACCAGCAATGTTTCGGAGACACCTATGATCGAAAACAAGTAACCTACGAATATCTTTTACTCTGACTGGCCATTTTTCGTATCCGTATAGTAAGACAGAGCGAACTGATGCACAGTAGACTTGAACTTTGGTTAGCAAACAAATATCTTGCCTACTCTACAAACGACGCAAGTTAGCAAAAGCCAATGGAGCCCTTTATATCCGTACTGAGACTTCGTCACGCAGCAGACCATCAGCATTGACGAGACTTCCGAGATACGTGAAGCGGTCAACATGCTAAACTGCTTCACTCTCTACCACTAGTTCAGTTGCTAATGCAAGCCAATCGTGAAGCAACATTTTACATTTCAAAGGAGGGAACCGCATCCCGAACATGCTTGCATTGTTGCTTAAGGCGGTCAGAGGACTGTATTTTATCAGCATCTTCAGCAAACGGAACTAATATCATTTGCAAATTTGGTACATAATTCCAACCATAAAATTTTAAACAAAACAAAAATATTCAACGTTTGAGAATAAGAACAATGTAACTGATTAATTATGAGTTTTCCCTATACTATGGGGTTACTCTGAAAGCAATTGCATTAGTGAACTAAAAGATAATTTGACACTTGGTTCCATAATAAAACACTAAATGAAAATACAAAACCTTTCCCAAGCCTACAATTTTGATAAAGATCCCCTGCTTACACTCATACGTAATCATACAACAATGAACATTCAAACTTTACACCAGGATAAATAAAGGGATGACACATGATGAATTAACGAAGAAGTAAGGTCCCCAGTATCAAATTTAAATAATCTAGAGTCATGTATACAAAACATTTAAAAATGAAATTATATGAACACAAAAAAATTATTTTCACTATGAAAATTTTTCGAATTGTATAATATTACTAGTGGTAATAGTGATAAAAGTTTGTCTGAAACGATAGCTTAATGGATGAAAAATCAAGCTATGAACAATTGAGTTCAAATCCCGTATTATATAATTCGATATGGATAGTACTGTTGGCATGCGTAACAAAACAAAGTATGGTTTAAGGCAAGGTACAAAACTCTGTACTTAGTAAATGAATTACACTGTTATATTAAGCACAGTTTGATCTAAACAGCACCACACTTACCGTACAGTATTGGCGACGCGAATGTAAACATCACGTCTCAAATTAAAACCTTCTCCATAGAACACGTCATACAATAAATACCTAAAAATGTGATTGATAAACACTCGTTCAAAAATGGATTACTACCTACCTTTTGCCATAAATGTAAGCTCTTGACACAAATGATAAAATCAACAGGATTGTACAAAAGAAGTTCATTATGTGTCAGTATGTTAGGAAAACTCACCAATTTAAAATTATTGTCTTGAAAATAATAAAAATATTCTATACAAGTTACAGGTAACATCATAATCAAACATGAAATGCTACATATCAATCACTTCTAATAACAACTGCTCTATAAAACTTCATCAGCTTAATACATAATATAATATTTTTTTCTAACGTCTAACATTAACTCAGCGCCCAAATAATGTGAAACTTGATTTGAAATTTGACAAAAGTTCCGATAAATTATACACAACTTTTTGATGTAACAACTAAGTATACCTTCTATTTAAAAAAATCAATAGCTGGTTGAGTCGCAAGACAAACCAAAATAGAAACGCTACTAGTATCCTACCTCCAGTTTTAATCAATCCAACTGATGAATAATTACTAAACTTACCTAGACACAACAAAGAGTACATATATTTTAGACGAAGACTCGACGAAATTTATTATATATTGGTTGTAAACTCCACTGCAATGCATAAACGAACCTATATGAAATCTAAGTAATCTTACGTTGGGTAAAAGCATATCACAGAAACTAAAGAGATTAGAATAAACACTAAAGTAAACGAGATTACAAAGGATAAATCATTTGCGAAAGTATGGTGTGAGAAATGTAGTTAAAGGCGAAGACTGAGAGTATGTCTTTTCCTGACCGCTTTAGAAGGACGATTAAACTCCAAGCATTCGATTTCCGATCTGCAGCATATAGTAGCAGTGGATTATCGGATGAATTACTCACCGTTTAATAAGTAATTTGTAAGTTTGAACCCGAATAAGGACAAAACAGGAATCGTTAATGTTCAAGTAAAAACATTTGTTCTGACCAAAATAAGATTTCTGAGTGGGTCCCATCACCTATAACTACTGGAACTTAGAGAGCTGCAGTAAAATCGCAAACACCTTTCAGAAACTAACAATCAAAAATCTTGTAAGTTACTGGCACCGCTAGGAAATTCAAAAAATATTCGGAAGCTAATTTTCATCACCAACGCAAACTGTTGTTTTGGTTTTTCTAAGGCACACCACCAAAGTCGACCCAGGTGCCTAATCCTGGCAGCTGACCTATTTTTAAAAAGCCAGTGTCGGCACAACCACGTGCATAAAACAGTGAAGTATCGAGCATAGAAATACTTTTTATAACTTGTGATATAACAATAATAAAGTATGTCCTCTACTCTAACTGAGAAAAAATAACTTAAAATTCGTAATTTTTCTGGTAAAGTGATCCAAACTACACTTCAAACCTCAAGATTCTAGAAAAGGGTATGAGTGAACCAGAAGTGCTCATCCTAGAATGGAGATAAACCTCGAGAATATATAAAATGACTTCTGGAAATGAAAAAAATATTCTGAGATCATAACCTATAATATTTAAGAAAGATAGAGAGGAATCGTGAGGATCCATGAGAGATTAGACATCATACCCTAGGCAATAAATACCAATCAAACATCTTTAGGACAGAAAAATGACGTGAAATTAGAAAATCCCTAATCATTTGAAGATCAGAAACTGCATACGCTATTAAATCATTCATTTCCACAAACTTTTTACTTGCTTACATATAATTACCCGTATGAACAGATCTAGTGTTACAAATAATAGAGACGCAATGTGCGATATTCCGGTTAGCCATTGAAAGAAATGTTATGCCGAAGCGCTATTAGGCAGAAACCTACCATTTTGAATGACCATGGGTCTTTCCTAACTTTACACAAAAAACGGTTTGAAGTCTAAAAATGTATATAAGCTATCTATAATTACAGTTCGAACGAATCATAATATTTATTCATTTTTTACAATACCTTGTCAAAAAGTCACAATTCTCTTCGAAAAGCACTAACGGAAGACTAACACATTTTTCACATTTCGATTTTAACGGGATAAAACTAGGGAAACAGAACTCCGCGTAACGCATTGTTCAAAAATCCGCGCATAGAGGAAATCATTTTTCAGTTTCGGTTTAGGAGCGCAAGAATTATCTAAATATGTAGTTTGATTCTCATTAAACTTGGAGAAAATGCGTTTTAAATCAACATTTGTCACTTTGTGAAGCTAAAATTAAAATTTCAAACTGGATCGGAAAGGTTATAACTAGCTATTTTTTAGTACCCTTTCCATTCACCTGTAGAGAATGTACATTTGTATCCGTACGCTGACTGGCCTACTAATAACTTTTTGCTGTCTTTGAATGTACAACTGAACGTTCTGTCGGCAGTCACTAGTTATGCGAAACTCACGAATATTTTAAACACAGGCTAGTTTCAGTTACAAACTTGTCCTTTCATTTGCATGAAATCATTTGTCTCTTTGTACTGGATAAGTTTTTAACCTCCTCTCCCCAGTTCTCTGAATGTTGTTTTAGAAGGTGAATGGTTTAAAGTTTTAAAGGAATTAACGCATTCATGTCGCAACGTAGTTAATAGTGTCCTTTAATACATAATATTCTTGCAACAACGTTTCGAAATGGTGAATAGTTATATTTAAATGGACTCCGAAATCCAGGTTGTTGCATTTTCACCTATCTTCTTCTCATCACCTCAGGTTGCCCGTTTATTTTACGCGCACGATTTTCACACTAACGCTAGGTACCTAGTGGCCACAGGATCTCAAATGTCTGTCGTATCGTCAATTAGCAGCAAATCTCAAGCTAAAACGATTTGACTATGCTTGCGAATGGCCTAAGTCATTCCTACCTACGGTACACGCAGCTAACGACCAGCCTGGATAGTCAACGACAGTATCTGTCGACGTTCATCTTTGCTGATGTTCCCATAGCCGTACTTTGCATCGAATTCCTACAGCTCTATGAATCACGTAGGCTGAGATTGATCGATAATTGGTCGAATATTAAATCCAAGGGCTTTGTCGTTTCAACAGATTTGTACAGAATCACTGTACCCACTTTGCATGACTACTTATATCATGTTATATTTGATGAATTCTCTGAAGTGACAAAACCGAAGAAATTCTGTCGGGGATTAATTATGTATTAGGCCACATCGTTACCTTCAGACCCCCAGTCACGGCAAAACCTCGACGACTAGCACTGAACAAATAAGTTTTCGCTAAGCGTGAGTTTGACAGTTTACTTGCCATATGTATTACCTCTATTTATCTGTCCATATGTTTTCATATAAGTAGATTCGGTGCTCAAACATTTGCAACAGCCTTATGAAGGATCTTGTTCACACGATCTCTCGTCGCGAAAAGACTTTTAAGGTTGATCGATAAGGTTAGCATTGATCGTCTCATACCAGCACACATCGATGACAGTGCCCGATAAATCCAGGTTCAATACTAGACCTGTCCAAATCACCAGCGCGATCGGCATGTCTCCTTCGGACCACACGCTACATACATCAGAGACCTAGTTGGCCCGTGATCTGACTCCGATATTTATGGATCGATCGGGTACATCGAGTATGCTATGAAATAAATCTCTTCATCAGTTTCTGTATATTATAATCCGATGAACCCTGTTTGTGAGACGGTGGTAATAAGAAGCCAAATACGGATTCAGTGGGAGGAATTTATTTCAGGCAGTCGTTAAAGCAGACATGATTTTAGAATCAATTTCGCTACATTTTGGTACTCTGTTTAATCCCATTTTGTGATGTTTATATTTGTATTTTGCTTTAGTTTCTATTTTTTGTACCTTTATTGGAGTTTCTATGTTTTCTACTGAACTGTATTAGGCTGTTTAAATTGATACTTAATTATGGCGTCAGCCATTTCGAATTTGACGCCCTGGGCGGTGAACTTTGAATCTGGACAGGAAGGGCGCAATTTTGGAGTTATACGCAAGCATTCTTCCAGTATTGGAAACACATTATGTTAAATTGTGTTGAAGAACAGTGTAATATTGTTTATCTAAGTCATTAATAATAGAACCTTTTCTTACCCAAATAAATTGCTTTTTTCTTGGGATGACTGGGAAAGGCACGTATCTAAATTCTTTCACTGTTCTTCAGTATTCAGAAATCACTAAAAAACCCCTACAATGATATCGAAAAGCACACAATCAAGGCGAAGCGAAGTGAAGTGGAGAAGCCGAGGGAGCCAACTCCATTAGGCTAAGCATGACTAAGAATTTAAAGTCAGTCAAAATAAGCCAGACATGTCATAAGCGAGATGGGCGAGCACATCTACAAATAAAAGCGATGCAGATATGAACGAAGAACTGAGAAGGTCAAAAGGCAAGTGGACTGATTAATTTATCCGAAGGCTAGGACGAGCCCTTTGACCTAGACATAACAGCACTCACTACAGCCCCATTCTTACGTCCCAGTCAACAGCAGGCGGCACCTGCATCATCCATATCCAGATCAGCAGACCACACTGGCCTTGACTTCGGATGAGATTGCAGTTTCGCGCTCTGAAACAAGACTGCCTACTCGCGTCCCAGTCTCTCAGCTCATATTTCTGTACGCTTTCGTGACTAGCCCCTATAAGCTACGTTTAGGGTATAGGATTCCTCCACTTACTATGTGCTTGCGACACTTTTCTTTTTCTCTGACTTTTTATTTTGAGCCCACGCCTTAGATTATCTCCCTGCTGTTACTGTCGACTTCAGTCGATATTGCAGAAAGCTGGTCTGATTACCAACGCTCTTCTCAATGCACTCAGTCAATGTTTTGGTTCCGGATATATCTGGCATGGGTATGGTCTCGAAAATGGTTGTTATGGTCGCTTCTGCGCGCGAACTCTTAAAGTGGTAACTTTTTTTCACGTGGTATAGTGTTTTTCGGAAATTAATCATTCGTAGGGTATTACAGTTATTTAGTAGAATTTATCTATTGTACCCAGTGCACTTTGCTTTTAGAAAGCAAATCCTCTAAGTTTTTAATCAGTTAATACACACTTGTCGTTTGATAACGATTTTAACTTCTGAATACACTAGTTTAAGCCTACTTATTGACTTACAGTGACTCTTACACTTCATAACTGAACCTCTTATCTTTAAAATCCGCCATTGATTTTTAGTATTAACACACAGTTATACCCTTAGATATTTAAGTTACTTAGACAAGCAATTATCCCACCAAATTTTCCTTTATGACAAATAATTCGAGTAAAAGAGAAATGTCTCCGACTTTCAAACCACCCAAAAGATCAAAATCTGTAAACTCTATGTCAGATGAATCTTTACTAAGTATTTCAATAGTGAAACTCGTAGATATGAGAGATACTATACCCAAATATGGCGAAACTTCTACACAGAAAAAACTTCAGCATAATCTTGTAAAGCCTACATCTGGAAATTCACAAACCAAGGAGTTGAATGCTCCATCCGAAACCGTTAATAGTAGTAATAACCGCGGCAGCGAGATACGACAGTTTGAAAACTCACTTGCCCGAATTAACGATAAGCTTAACCTGTTATCACCGCTCATGCACTTATGGGCCCCGAATAATGACAGGAACCTAGAAGAATTAGCCAAAGTGGAATATATCCTAGATTTTGTAGCTGAGGAAGTTACGAAAAGAATAATGTCTTCCTGCAATGCGATTGCATATAACCTCCCCGACCGCACATCCTTGAATTCGCTAAAGGATACCTGTCTAAAAGCGTGCGATATAGCAAACGTCAGCTGTCACGTCACACGCCTCCGAAAAAAATCGGACAAACCAACTTGCCCTCTCCTTTTCAAATTCGGCTGCTGCAACGACGCCAAACAATTTATCCATTTGAGCAAAAATATTAGCTCATCAACCTTATACAGAGAAATAAAGGTTACCCCGGATCTAACACCTTGTCAACGTCGTGTAAAAACAAGAGAGGCGACTAGATCACATAACGGTGTCACAGCAGACAATCTACAGAAGATAACCCCCAATGTCATGAAAGTAAATAAACAAATAAACCACTCTGTAGATCTTGATGAGCCTGTGGACAGTAAACCTTCTAACAAAGTACGGATCCCCTCTGTCACCGAGAAATCGAACGACACCTGCATTCCTAATCCCAGCTGTTCAAACGTTAACTTGACTGAATATGTCCCGAAAAACAACACAGTTCCAGCTAAAACTAATAAAATTAAGAATCCATCCCCAAAATATATTGCACTAGAGAATACGATAGAAACTGACGTGTTTTTCAAAAACACGTCCAGGGGACCAAAAAATTTTCCGTCTTTAACTAAGAAGAGTGAAGTGATTAAATCTTGGGTCTCAAGTAAAAAAATTGGTAGGATTCAAACCCCATTGCCACCGACTTTCCAACTACGATGAACAGGTTCACTCCTTTAATGTCATGTGATGTGCCCCTAGCCTCTCCAAGTTGTAAGACTGATAATATTAAGAACAGGTCGGACCAACATCTGAACATGCGCACAAATAATTATTATCCAAGAGCTAGGTGCACTGCCCAACCACCTAATCCTAGAATTATTAGTGAAAATGGAAATGGAAGATTTTTCACCCCTCACCTTATCCTAAATACCCGGGCATTTATTCGCAAAAACTCTGAGAATGAAAACTCTATGTGTTACGTCCAGTTTTTTGCCCTTTGATCCTACGAAGCACGGTTGTCGAACTATTTGTAATTCACGATCCCAAATGTTTAAACCAAGAACGAAACTCCAAAGTAGATACCAAAGTTTATTCCAAATCACAAATTCGACCAAAATACTTTATTACAAATAGACGACCAATGTCGTTCTAACAACATTAATTATAATAATTACAATTACCTTCTATTTTATTGGCTCTTGAAGCAAAAAACTGCAAACGAACAACCAAGAGAAACGGGAGTCCAAAATGGCAGAAAATAATAATTCAAACAAGTTCATAAGTTAAGTAAAACAAATGTACCCAAAAACAGTGAAATTAATGATATTTATATATAAAGGTTTTGATCAGCAAAATGTCTTCATTCCTCCCGTAACACTATGCATCCTGCTCTACCAA